GGATGATTTCTCCTGTGACAGATTTGATGTCATCAACCGCCCGCTGGTGAACCAGCCGGGTGAAAAGTTTCAGTATGGGACATCAATGGACTGGGCGGGCATTATTGTCGAGCGTGCTACAGGAGTGTCTCTAGAAACGTACTTTCAGGAGAACATTTTCGGACCTCTCGACATCAACAGCATCACGTTTCAACCTTCGGAAGAGTCCAAATCACGATTGGCGTATATGCATCAGAGAGACGTTGACGGTGGATTTTACGAGATAGATCACATCTACAGAAAGCCCCTGGTCGTGAAAACGCAGGAGGAGGAGGACAACCTATTTTGCGCTGGGGGGCATGGATGCTTTGGCAAGCCAGCAGAGTTCTCCCGTAAGTCTCTACTTTCCAAGTCGTCATGAGAATAGGATATTTTTGGGAAACTTCGTGCTGACTTTGGCCCAGGTATCATCGCACTGCTCCTGAATGATGGTCAAGATGCTAGGACGAAGGCACAACTGCTGAGGCCCGAAACAATAGACGGTATGCGACCTGAATTATTTCTTAGCCCTTTGGATAATCTAAGCTTTGACGTCGCTTAGAAATGTTCACCGATCAGATTTCTGACAAGCCTCGCTATTCTAACAAATTCATCCCGGTGTCAAAGCCAACACTGGCAAGGCCCACCCCGTTGACTGCAATGCCAGAGGATCATACTGAAGGCTGGGGTCTTTCCTTCTCAATCAGCCACCACCCGTCACCGACGGGAAGGCCTGCAGGAGCCGCCTCCTGGGAGGGTCTCGCAAATCTCTATTGGTTTGCAGACCGCAAGAACAAGCTTGGCGGGATTATTGCAACACAGATTGCACCTTATGGGGGTAAGCACGAGCAGTACCCAACGCTTTGGTCTTGCCATCACCAAAATGCAGCGCTAACCAGAATGATTATCACCAGATCCTCATGTTCTTGAATGTTCAGACAAGGTCGAAACGGAGATTTACAAGATTATTGCTTCCAGAACTACTGAGTGAAGCCGTAAGATACCTGGCTAGGGCCGGCAATCGGTAACGCCTGTCGTTGTCCAAACCTTTCAAGTAAGACTGTTTATAGGCAGAAACATCGTTTGGCAATCAAATCAAATTTTCATGGAAAGCATTTTCGAAGCATCAATATGAAAATGCGGGGAATAACCACCTACCGGCTCTTGCAGCTTGCTTCGGGCCGGTGTAATTCGATCTTCAGAGCTCCGACCCTGTCTTGTCCATGCAACCTAAGTCAAAAAAGGCAATTCAGTGGCCCAGATAGCTTGATCTCTTCAAAAGACGGCATAATCCCGCGCCCACACTTGAGCATTTCTTTCAGACTTAAAACTGCACTTCAAATATTCCAGACTTGAAAATCATGCACTCTGCTGCTCATGCTCGTGTACTCGCGTCAGTCATGGGTTCGCCAACTGTTGCGACGAGCCCTACCAAAGGGCGTCAACTTAAGTTCGATGAGCTAGTAAATGCTCTTCTATCCGATCCGCCGTCAAAGTTCGACCCGTTTCGTATTTACCGCAGTCACTATGAGTCCGACGGCATTGATATAGGGCTTGATATACTCCTTCCGAAGACGATGAAGCCTCAAGGTCCAAAGCCTGTGATTGTACGAATTCACGGAGGGTTTCTTGTATGTTCAGTCACTCATCTTAGGCTCGAATTTTACCGGGAATTTCGATGAAGGCTGATCGTCTTATAGGTCACAGGCTCGAGCCTTTTCCCTGCTTGGTTCACCAAGTGGATTTTGGACTACGCTGAACTTCACGATGCCCTGATTATCAGTCCCAACTATCGTTTACTCCCAGAAGCCAAAGGAGTTGAAATATTGCAAGACCTGAAAAACTTTTGGTCATGGCTCAGCAACGGTGTCGAGCAATCGTTAGCATGCGTCGGGTTGAGCAACATCAAGCTTGATCTTGATCAATTGCTGGTTGTGGGCGAAAGCGCCGGTGAGTCGAGGCCTCTTGCCCAGAAAGAGCGACTGAACTGACATCATTGTCTTTCTGCCGTTATCAGGGGGGTATCTTGCCCTGCAATCAGTTCTCCTCGGTTTCGCAAGTCCCCGTGGTATGATCTTGGCGTATCCCATGATTGATCTTGAATCGCCGCATTACACCAGGAGATTTAGCAAACCAATCGTCGGCGTTCCAAACTTCCCGGATGAGGTCATTCACGAGTTTCTGACTTCTCCATTGTCTGGGAGCAAGAAGCTTTTGACAGCAGCTGATCCCCCAACGCGACTCGACTTGGCCATGGCAATTGTGCAAAATGGAAGGTTTCTTGAGTTCTTGGGTACAGAAGATGAATTGTTTCCTCTCCGACTGTTAACCAGGAAGGGACGCAGAAACCACCCCATCCTCCCGCAATGCTTCATCTTGCATGGTGAAGAGGACTCCGCAGTACCAGTTGAGGGAACAAGGAAATTTGTGGCACGTCTGAAGACAGTAGACCCATCATCTCGTGTGCATGTGGCAATTCGTCCTGGGGATCACGGTTTTGACTCAACCGCAAAACTTGGTGATGAATGGTTGTCAAAGGGCCTTCATGATGTGACGGACGCTTGGCTCAACTAGGTACAACTAGGTACCTTGGAGGCAAATGGTCCTTTGCCTTCAAGCAGAAATATCGCTACAATGCAATCGCAACCTAAGATTTCCTGTACTGCATTATTATCATTACGCAACGTCTAATAAGTAGTGGGTTTTGCCTTTACAATGGAGAGCCCCGCACGTTGAGATGCAGACGGGGATCGCGCCCAAGACGTGGCAAAATCGTGCTTTCTCCGTATTAGGAAATATCTACACTGATTAGAAGACCCTAGTTGACTTGGCACTAGGTGAGATTCAGCCTCAAGGATCCGGATGGAGGCCTTCACAGCGAGACTGCCTCTCTATTTCGGGAAATATTTGCTGTGTTGCACAGCTGTGGGGAACGGGCCTCCGCATCCAACAGACTGCCTCGCGTTGCGTCACTGCAGCCACAGTCATAACCTGGGCCATGATAGTTAAGAGATCACAGCATCTGCGTTCGATTAGATCTCAAGGTCAACAGACGAAACTCAAGAACAATAAGCAATCATCAATCATCAACTATCAATTATCTTGTTTTTCGTTTTCATTGTTTATCTCGACCTCTCTTCACGAGCCCGCTGCCGCTTCACCTTCCATTCTCTTTCGCCCTCCGCCACAGGTTGAACGACGATAATCCAAAATGGCCACGATGGACAAGGTCTTTACTGCATACCAGGAGCGACAAGTAGTCCTGGAGAAGTCCACTTCCACCAACCCGTTTGCCAAAGGCATCGCATGGGTAGAGGGACAACTCGTTCCACTCGCAGAAGCACGAATTCCGCTTATGGATCAAGGCTTTATGCACAGCGACTTGACCTACGACGTTCCCTCTGTTTGGGATGGTCGCTTCTTCCGCCTAGACGACCACCTCAGCCGTTTGGAGGCCAGCTGCACCAAGTTGCGTCTCCGACTCCCCCTGCCCCGCGAGGAGGTCAAGAAGATCCTGGTTGACATGGTAGCTAAGAGTGGCATTCGCGACGCCTTTGTGGAGCTCATTGTGACCCGTGGCCTGAAGGGTGTCCGAGGCGCGAAGCCGGAGGATCTATTGAACAACAATCTGTACATGTTCATTCAGCCTTACGTTTGGTGCATGGATCCTGAAGACCAGCCTCACGGGGGCTCCGCAGTTATCGCACGAACTGTCCGCAGGGTTCCTCCAGGTGCCATCGATCCCACCGTCAAAAACCTCCAGTGGGGTGACTTGGTGCGAGGTCTCTTCGAGGCTTCTGACCGAGGCGCTACCTATCCTTTCTTGACTGACGGCGACTCGAACCTTACGGAAGGCTCTGGGTTTAACATCTGCCTCATCAAGGACGGCACTCTTTTTACACCTGATCGTGGCGTCCTTGAGGGTGTGACGAGAAAGAGCGTTCTTGAAGTTGCTGAGGCAAACAAGATTCCTATCCGTAAGGAGGTTGTTCCTGTCGAACTGGCCTACCAGGCGGATGAAATACTGATGTGTACGACGGCTGGGGGCATCATGCCAATTACCAAACTTGACGACCAGCCCGTCAATGGAACGGGTAAAGTTGGGCCTCTGACGAAGAAGATCTGGGATGGATATTGGGCGCTGCATTACAGCCCTACGCACAGCTTTAAGATAGACTACAGTACTGCTTAGTTTCAATTGGAAGATAACGACTCATTTCCAAAACATTAAACATGTTGCTTTCCATTGAGCTCCTGCCAGAGTGCGTTGGCAACGACATCCCTTCCGGGATCATACACGTGACATTCAAGCATGCATCAGCAAAGTTTACAATGGTTAGAGACTCGAAACGAGAAGGGGGAATACTGCAGTTTACCACATTATACATTTTAAACCGTTCTTGTATGTTCGTAATATCATGAAATGCTGCCACGTCCCCTCCTGCAAATGAAGCTTTTTTTCATCTTGCATAATGAAAGTGGTAGGCAGAGACGAAGAGAAAGCACAACCAGGACACCACGAGTATGGACGTATTATGAGCAGAAGCTTAACTTCTTTCTTGTAACAGAATGAAATCTAGGCTGCTGCGTATCTATTTACACCTTCACAGGCGCGACCGTAAGCCTGTATGCTGTAGATCTTTCAAAGCGGTCGCAGCAGCCTCGACTGCCTCCAACGCCATGCCGTATCCAGCCTGAAACCCAGTACCTCCAGCTCCGTAATTATGTACGACCAAACCCTGCCTCCCGCCTACGTCAACCTGAACACCCTCAACGCGAGCACCGCCTTCGCGTGAGGGTCTTAGCCCAGCAACAACCGCAAGTACTTCAGAATCCTTCTCACGAAGCTCGCTACTCAACTTGTGGGTCCGATCCATAATGGAGATGGTCTCATGATAGTATGTAGCACAGTCACTGTGTGATCAAGGGTGAGCTCACGCCAACATGTAGGTTCTCAACGATGAGCTCGCCAGATAATCAACTTACCCACTTCCCTTCTGCATGTATCCTCCCAATATGGCATTCCCGTTTGGTCCAGGCCCCGGGATCACGTAGGTCTCGTAGTCCTTGCCGTGCCTCATTACATTTGTTCGGACTTGCGGTGCTCTGACCAACACAACCTGGCCTCTGGTTGGGTAGCAGCGTTGGTCTTCAACACCGGATAGTGTCTTGGCCTCGTTACCAGTGCAGTTGAACACGACCTTTGTGTCGAGACTGAGGAAGCCGGATTGAATATCGGGAACCTTTTGCCGGATGAAACGTACACCATAACGATCCTTCAGCGTCCGGCAAAGATAGAGGAGGTGTGCAGGCGCATTCACAGTCAAAGTGGCGAAAGACACAGGAAATTTGACGCCTTCTGGAAATTCCTCTTGCGGCAAAACTTTGAACTATGATAGCCTTGTCAGCGCTTTGGATTTTAACAGCAGTGTTCATGAAAGTTCTTACGTCCTCAAGGTAGTCAGACATGTGCTTTATCTTTTCGTGGGGAATCTCTTCATCCCACATTTCGATAGATGAAGTTCTCTTCACGAAGGCCTCTTCCTCTGCCTCGGATGCCAGCTTGCAGAGGTGGGAGTAACCGACGCGATCCCATCTCAACGCGTTGGCATCGCTGCCGGAGATGGCTGAAAAGTTGCAGCCGGCCCTGGATGGGTCAGCCATGTCTTTGCCTGGTTCAATGAGTTCGAACCGTCCTTACCATGGGGATGTGTAAGTGACCGCAGTGTCTCCAGGCAGGTATTCAGCTACGACCGTAGTAGATTTACCGAGGCCTGCCTTTGCCAGCACCAGTGCAACGTCTAGTCCGATGATGCCTGCGCTATTTGATAAGGTCAGTGACTCTTCCACGTTAATATTACGTACTATCCCTCACATACCCAACAATTACGATACTTTCAGCGGGCATTGTAAAGCTTAGGGAACATCAATCGGGCCAGAGTGACAGACGAGAGTGAGCTTGGGCTCAACAGCTTGGTGAAAAAGCTATCCTGAAAAGACATGGTCGCTCTACTTCAGCTCCTACGACTGGGTACAAATTCATAAATTCAATATTTTGTAAGCCTTCTTCTTCGCATGTTCGTTTGTTGGTGCATGCGTCTTGGGGATATTTCCCAGAACGGAGAAATTCCCATGCTTCCCAAAGTAGACGGGTCCCGAGCGTTCACTGTATTCAAAACAAAAGCCTGTTCTGGAACTACATCAAAAATATAATGTGTATGCAGAAATATGTATGAAAATCTTCTAATTGAAGAGATCTTCTGTGTTCACTATCACGCGACATGCGACGGAGAATGGAGACGCCTAGCCTCCGACTGGGTATAAAATACAATAGTGGCCCGCTATCGCCATCAATCCAGCAACGAGATGACCAATTCTCTTTTGTGGTTCCCGATTCCTTCTTATCTACCTTACTCAGATGATCAAAGACCAAAACTCTTTTCTCTCAAAGTTGGCGACGATAGATTTGGAAGATAAGAGATTCCTCAGGATAGCAGAAGCTTGTTACAAGCAGAGGACTCGCTCACTCGGCTTCTTGATAACGGCGCCATTCCGACCCGATCCCTGCACCCGATCCCTGCTCGGCTTCTCGGCCCCACATCAGGAGGGGCTGCTCCGGATCGAATCGCTAATTTCGGGTAAGACAGACGGTGTGATCTTCGCGTTTAAGATTTGACAACAATCTTCGTTATCTACGTAGCCTTCGTTGAGATAGAAATGGGAGGCAGAGACTATTAGGCCACCGACTCCATGACGTTTTGATCAAACAGATATGCATGTGACAGAGCCCACCGTGCCTGCAATGTGAAAAGTTCCTTATCAAAAAGCCTATCCGCGAAGTCAATGACAGATCTCCGTGTCCCAGGCAAACCCGTTCGAATCTCTTAATTATTCTTATAGAACCTTCTTTAGAGCTAATATTATTAATTGAGGTATCTTTGATGGCCGTTCATCTGGCGCACACAAGCCAGTGGATTCAAGTCAGAATACACGAGTGTTATGTCATCAAATAGTTAGGAGTAGTTTCCATGGACATACCACATTAGCTAAAGGTGTGTCATAGCGTCCTTCCCCGGATTCTTGCCGTCGTGGGGTCACGAGCTTGTCCGGCACGATTTTGTGTGATTTCGCGGGGTACACGACTCCGTCCCCACTTGTCATCCACCCGCTATCAGCGTCTCTGCGCTTCATCGATCGGTAGCATCCATCTTTGATATCGGCCGCATGCCCTGTTATCAATAATTTTCGCTGCGAATTTAGTTGTACTTACTCATTCTTCGACGTCAAAGAGCCATTGTCCTTCTTGTTCAACAGGGCTCGTTCTGACCGTGCTTCAAAAATGGACGGTGGTCGGAGGAAGATTAGACGGACTACGAACGCGTAAGACTCACCACAACCCTCCGCAATGCAAGATCTCACATGGAGACTTTCCAGATGCATACCGTGTCGGACGAGCAAAATCAAGTGTACTGGTGACGAGCCATGTGCAAACTGTAGACGACGCGTGGTCAGATGCAAGTATGAGGATTCGGGCACGAAGGCATCCTCGTCGGAGAGATCGGTTCACATCAGAAGCGAAGATGATAGTAAAAGACGGGCCTCGGACGTGTGTTCGACCGGAAGCAAGAGATCGTGTGATGCTTCTTTCGGCTCCGAGAACGATGACGACGGTGAGTGAATTACCAAGTTAAAGCACGCTCATTCCTTTTCTGACATATTATTTCCAGTTGCAGTAACGTCACCAAGAAGGGGTTCAAGAAGAGTTCAATCTAGCGATGAAACACATTGTGTATACACAAGTCCCTTCACGCTGCCGTCCACGACGATCCGAAACACTCATCAAAACAAAAGAAACTGGAGTAATTTCTCTTTCTTTCCAGTCGTATTGCACCTGAGATTAGCTAATGAGATCTTGATAGTCTGGTTGGCACCGTCTTCAACATGGTCCTTTACCGCCCGACTTACTCTGATGATGGCGGAGAAACTCCAGCTTGAAACTCCCTTCAGTGCGCCGAGTTTCCTCAACGACGAAATATATATTTTAAAGTGGAGTGCTGCAGGCGCAGATGAGGCGCCCGACATCAAAGGTCTTCCTTCCATCGAGCATGCTCTTTATCTATATAACACAGTGAAATTTCACCTTGGCCAGAACTATCAATTTCTCGATGACGAAGTATTCGTCCAGAATGTCAATGAGTTCTACTATGGTAACCCTGTCCAAAAAGCAGCCGAGTCGCGGCTATGGTTTGTTCAGTTTTTGTTGGTCTTGTCCTTTGGGCAAGCCTTTCTTTCGAGATCAAAAACCCCCAAAGAGCCGCCAGGCTCCAAGTTTTTCATTCGTGCGATGTCACTTTTGCCTGATCCCTCGTTGTTGTGGAAGGACAGTCTTCTCGCAATTGAGGTTCTGGCCCTAGCCGGTCTGTACTTATACTCAATTTATCAAAGAGAGTCAGCACAGCTATATGTAAGTACACATCTTCCTCGACGAGAATGAGCTGACTTTCATTCCCACATTTAAGGTCGCCCAGGCAATACGAATAGCCCAGCTGGAAGGCCTCCACACTCAGCTGCCTGAAGAGGCCTTAGGATCTGACACAGTAGCACGCTGTCGGAAGCTGTGGTGGACTCTTTATATCATGGACCGCCATTTTTCATGCTCACTGGGTGTTCCGATGAATACTCAGGATATTGATATTACAACTCTGCTCGATCCGCCCAGCATAGCATCACCTCAGGACACAACTCTGGGTTTGAGAGTAAAGCTATCTCATCTACTGTCCTCCATCATCAACAGTTAGTCAATATGCAGCCAGTATCATCTGCAGAGTTTGTTCACGGCTAATAGCTTATTTAGCCGTTTACAAATCTGAAAAGACCCCGTTAGGCAAGTTTCTTGAAGAAACAAAGTCAATTTTGCACACTCTGGCAGGACATGCCCAGGAGATCGAAAAGATCACTCGTGTCAAATTCCAAAACTCGGTGGACACAATGCCAAAAGGAACGAGAGATATTACTCTTCTATATCATCAAGTGCAGTCGCTCCAATCCCAACCTGGTGATTTCGTTGCTAACATCCAATGCCCAGTGCGTGGTTATCGCAACACGGCCACTACTTCTGTCAGCGCTCAAACAACAACTCGACCACTTTGGGCGAGGACTACCGGATCTGGAGAACTTCATGGCTCCTCTTATCCCGTTGATGTCAACAGGAATCAAGTCAGCAGTCAAGACACTCCAGATCCTCTCTGGAGAGGATACTCTAATCGGTAAGCGTTTAAAGGCGACTCCTCGAAATCGCATCAAACTTACCAGACAGCAGAAGTCTTCCTTCCTTTCGATCTTGAGTACGCATACGGTGCAGCGATTCATCTAACCATTGCAAATTCCTTATTTCCGTCTACAACAGGAATAGACGGGCCAGCACACGGCAGAGAAGCACATGCAATCTTGGATGACATGATCCACAAGGGCAACTCCGTGGCTGAAGTACGCAAAGCTGAGTTGACTCACCTGGAATATCTTTTCAATGTGTTTTCCGTGCGGGTTAATCAGCCTGACGTTCAACCCTCGAGGCCGCCCGTACGTTCGCTTCAACTGCGGCCATTCCCAAGTATCTGGGAGTCTTCAACCGCGGAACCTGATTTGGCTTCCATTACTACGCTCAGCGAGCCTCAGCCCCTAGTCTGCGCACCAGAAACACCAAACAACGCCGAGTTTCTTGATAGTATCGGAATATCATCTGATGACTTCTTGTCCATTGTGGAGCAGATGGGTAATCACGACGATGCGGATCTACCCTTTGCCATGCTGGATCTGTCCCAGTTCTGGAAGTAGCCCGGAACAATACACTTACAGAGGCCCTTTGCCCGATATTTGTGGAAGTTTACAGCGTAATTCGGATGAAACCATGGCTTGAATGTGACTTGATTCTTTTCCTGACTCCGGTTTGCTCTGGTTTCGGTACATGGTGGTCATGCTCTTGTCCTTCCAATCGTTTCAATGCTGATCGCGATTTCCGCCATCCAATGCATCCAAACATGAAGGATAAAGGACTTTTCGCGGTCGACCAAATGTCATCAGCGAGGCTCGCGAGCAATATGACCGTCTTTAAAGTGTATTTGACTGCCTAGCATTAGCGAACTTCTAATGTACAAGCAGCTCTCATTTTCGCTCGTCTATTCATGCTTCCCGTCACATTAGGATCCATGCTTTCGTTTGCAACGTATCATACATGATGCCATAGTTCCGCCTCTCCTTCCTCTTAGCTGTATTAGGAGCAAGTATGGCTCCTTTGCAGAGTTCTCCTACCACCCAGTATGGTAATACGGGTCCCAGCTCTGATGCCTTTGTGCATTTGTTGTGTGTTGCTGTTGAAATGGTTGATAGGTCGGGTCGTGCCATGCCATTTGAGTCGAAGGTGTTGATGCTGGTGGAGAAGCGAGAGTTGTAGCAGATGAGGCATTTGTCGCAGTTTGTTTGAGATCGTACATCGACGCTTGGCTGTAGACTGAGGCATGTCGCATATCGTAGGTCGAATCCCTATGAAGTAAAGGTCTCTCCTGACTTGGGTCAACCTGCACAGTGTTTCCGACAAGCGAAGCGTGGTAATCTGAGGGCATATGCCCTGACAAACTGTCTTCCAGGCCAACTGCAATAATGTCAGCACCCAATGGTTCCTCAAATCAATAAGTGAGTACTCACAAGCTAAGATGTAGAACAGCTCTGCAACGACTGGAACCCAGGCGGCCAAGGCAAGTACCTGACCAAATGTCCACTTATCGTTCTTGTCGAGACCACCCGCCGCATCAATAATCTTCTGTCTGAAGTGCGTGAAGTAGGCGAGAATGCCCCACATGAGAAAGAGGTTGATCCACGCAATCAGAAGGCGCCAAATTGACCTCCATGTCTTGACCCAGGGCTTGTCGACCAAGCCAGGGATCTTGAAACCTGTGGTCAGAAAAATGGTGATGATAAGCCAGAGTAGAGGCAGCCCTATGACAAGGAATTGGGTCGCCTTGACAACGTGCCAGTATTGCGAGCCGCGCTGGTCGCAGTCAAAGTTCGCATGGCCACTCTTGCGCTCTGCATAGTCTACCTCAGCTCTCGGCGCCATGTAGACTACGGATGCGCTCAGGCCCCAAAGAATGAACAACACAGCGCGATGAAGCCACTTCCGATGGCCGTCATGCTTTACTAAAGCATAGAGTAGCATGACCGGGAATACCGAGAAGTTGGAGGCAATCAGAGAAAGCGCCATTTCATACACGGCTTCGCCTGAAGGCAGATCCGGATTGACCTTTTCTCTCTCCTCTTTGTTGGTGATGCTGGAATACAGCGCCGCCCCCAGCATGGCGACAGCAATCAGCATAGCGCCGCTTAGGAACATGTCCAAGGAGCCGCGGAAAGAGTCAAGGATCCGCTCGCTGATAGTCTGTGGTTGGCCAGCTTGTCTTTTCTTCTTGTACGTATTTCTGCTGAAGTATCGGATCGACTGATGAACGGTGAAGGCAATGAGATATATCGTCCCGAGAAGGGCTTCGAGGAAGTAGGACACCACTACCTGCAAACACATCAGCCCAATCTGAATACCAACGCACATTAGAGACACCTACGCCAATGCCACATAGATCCTGACTTCCTGTGTATCCGACAGCTTTGCAGAAATCGGCCTCGCACTTTTCTTTCGGGCCCCAAAGGATGGTATCGTTGAATCGCTGGCTAAACTGATAATATTTGGGAGAGGTGGCGTTGGGAATAGGAGTGTGCATCATGTTGTAGGCGAAGAAAGAAGATACGTCTGCGTACCATGTAGTCAGACTGGTATAGTTACTGGAACTTTCGGGGATGGAGTTGAGAAAGAGTATCATCGAGAGTTCCATGCTCATTCCGCGTGTCGAACTTGGGTCCCAAGGGTCAGGTTGCACCAATGCTCCAAGCCATTGACCCCATGCTATTGTCGTTGTGAGCTACATCACCGCGATGATAGCTTGTAGAGATTAGGTGGGTACCTACCAGTGCAGTTGTTATGGAAGTTTAGCTGGTCCCAGGTCAAGTTACCTGGAACCCAAAGGTCTTGATCGATGTTGGCCATGGTGGGGGATCCTCTGCACGATGCCCTTCTGGCTGGCCCTCTGCCAAGTTATGGTCGTGTGATCACCCTTGAGATGCAGTCTGCCAGGGTATAAGCTTTCGATTCGAGGGGAAAAGCTGGGCAGGGGCATCTGCCGGGAGGGGGAAGACAGACATGCTTATATCTAAGCTCTCCGCGAGATCGACACCATGTCAGGTCACAACATTCCGGACGCAAATAATCCCCGGCATACAGCCGCAGACTTTCTGTCCTTTCACAGCTCAGATCATCTGAAAGACCCCTCATAGCTTCCGGCCGGGATGAGGTAGCTGAACAGCTGGGGCTGACAGCTAAGACAAAAAGGGAGCAAAAATCGAGCCTAAGTCTCGTGGTGAGATTAGCTAGCGTAAGCCACAGTCCCCCAACTGAATTACGAGTTCCGCAGTTGCACAAGGCTGGCCATTCACAGCATTCTGATTCCGCCAAACTCGCTTGGGAATTTTGCGCTGCTCGCGCTAGCGGCTTTGGGCCGCGCAGCTGGCCGTTGGGGCTGGCAATTCGACGGTGCCGGCGGTTAATGGCGCTCGTTCTCCGTGCGGGAAGGTTGGGTGTCGCTGACGGCATGGAGTGGATTCGAGTCACAGTACTTTGGAGGGTCAAAGGTTTATGCCTGGAATTCCGTTTCATTGAGTCTAACTCTACTAGCTCAAGGGCTGGCTGCGATGCTGTGTGCGGACGTGCCTGTCGCGATTGTATTTCATGGGAAATCCACGTCCTTTCCCTTCCGAGTATTTGCAGCCATTGTGAGGGCAGAAGTAAGGTGAGAAACCCTCCACGCTTTCAGGATGTCTGTCCTCCCGATGGCGGCGTAGATCCTTCCTGTAAACAAATGTTGATGAGCAACCCTCTTCTGTGCACTTGAATTGTCTGGCGTGTTTCGTATGCATCGGCTTCAATCAAAGTTAAATCACTTCTTGGATAATCTCGGGAAAAGCTTACTTGAGAAGGTATCGCTGCTGGTAGACACGTCGACATTCGTCGCATCGCCAAGGGCCAGACTCTCCATCATGGATCCCAATTGCTTCCTCGGCGGACGCGTCGTCCTGATGGTCGTCATTGCCAGGATACTGATGTGTTTCTGGTAAGGACTGTTGGGGAATATAATTCCTCTCGGCCTCGATTCTATTTTGCCCATGATTCTCCTGCTCCCCATTGATGTGCCCAGCAGGCTGGAGAAAGCTAGACGCAGCGCTCCAATCATATTCTTCGAGTGGCCCTCCACTACCGGTCTGAACCCACGAAGGATCAACTGTTTGGAGAGACTGATGATGATGATAATAAAGTAACCCTAGACCAGTCGAGCCTGAGGGGTCTGAACTTGAGATTAAGGCCTACCCAAGAAATAGTTGAAGGAGTGGTAAGCCTGCTGGATGGTGATGGCAAGAACAAGAGCTCAAGGGCTAAGCTTCAAAGCAAGAAAAGAGTGATCTGGTCGGCAACGAATGTTGTGGAAAGGAGTGACAGGCTTCGCACAATATGTGCCGGCCGTGGGGAAGGGAGAGAAATCCGGGAATTGAGCACGTTGGTTGGGGGGGGTATTTATCGCCGGGAGCATTCTGAGCAAGATGACAAGCGTTCAGTATGATTGGACGCGTGGAATGGTAGGCCTCAACTCTATCTCCTCGATAACCATGGCCCATGTGTCTTCATGTGTTGTGAAATTTTATTTCTTGTAGGCCTCATCTGATGTGCGATAACCAATGACAACAGAGATGGCATTGGTTTCGTGGTATCCGTGGCTAGGTCCTGACAGGCCGAGTACTTCAAATTCTGTTTTCATGAATTTGTATTAAATGGCAATGGAGGAATTCCGCTTCCTTTTCCTTCTAAAATCCAGCAAGTCTCACCGAACTATTTTCTTTCTGTGCCTGAACGTCAATCAAGCCATGTCTGCACTACTTTGCTGCGAGTCCCTCAGGCCTTACAAGGCTCTGCGTACCGATCATGAGGTCAGGTTCACTCAGTTCATGGCCTGGGCCAACGATGGTCAGCCGACAGTCATAGAAGAAACTTCCAAGATCGCCTCTCTATGCAATCCAGCTGGTGCGTCAAGTCAACTATGGGCCGCTAGAGAGCAAGCGATACTTTGTCAATTTTGCGGATCGCACCCATTCATACGTTGAGGTTTCTGAAGACTTCTTGATCCAAGTCAACTTCCAGAAGGTCAATTCGTATGGAACCTCCCTTTCTTCTTCCTTCTATAACGAATCCTCCTCGCATTGGACGGTACTGGACTTCGGAGAATGCGCCTGCTGACCCGTCTCCTTCAGGTTCAAGAACTTCAAATGTGACATACACGATAGGTTCTTCGAGATCAACCTGTATCAGAAGGACCCTATCAACAAGCACCATTGGAGGGCTAATCTGGCCCGGCCGGCCAGCAATATCGACCTCTGAGACTTGGGCGAGGTTTTCGAGCGTATCCCAACGAGTATCACTAGGCGTCAGTAACGTCTGGAAGTTTACGTTGCTATGGTTTTCCTGGTCTAGCACATGTGCCACGGTCTAACAAGGGCAAACAAGAGTCGATCGCTTTACTGACGCCAAGTGCATCTCGATGGGGTACGCTCTATGTGGCGATCTGGCTGTCATAAGCTTAAAATTGGAGATATTTGTTCTTCGACTTCTGCGCATACATTGGGGCCATGTGAAATCCTTTCGTTGCCATTTCTCCGATGTAACACTCACCCCCAATGCCTGAGATTAATATTCTCGCACCCGAGCCGGCCACCTAGCACTGGCATGACCAGACTTTGGGTACCTAAATTTGGTTTCAACCGGACGGAATGGCGCCGTGGCTGAAAGAGCGCATGTGTTCTTGTCCGCCAAAGCGCCACATCGCATGAAGTCTTACCCAGCGCGTAAGCCCCCGGAATGAACAAGGAAGCAAACTTCCCTCGGCGCCACGGCCAAGCTGGTCTAACGTCGTGTGTTTCGACCCACGTCGCTTCACATGGCTAAATTCTATGTTCTTAGTGTCGTCCACAAGGCATTCTCTGCTCCCTAAGATGTTTTTTTTTCCCTCTTTGTCTATCGGTTGTCACAGCGGCTTCCCTCACAACATCCAGTATTTTATTGTTCCCGGATCGCAAACGGCCAGCCACTTTCAAACTTGGCTGACTTTGCCATGGTTTCAGCATGTCTCAGATCTGATCGACACCGTCCCCCAGGCTGACTTCACCGCGTGCAGAACAGAGGCATCCCAACAAGAAGAACAAGCGAGTTGCCAAGTGATCTTTGAGGGACGTACGTCTTATTGGATGCTGGATGCTGAGTGGTTGAAATACGATTCTGGATGGGATGACACCAAGGTCCCAGACAATTGCGCATAGTCGGGCTTTCAAACTTCGCTAAACAGTCTTTTCTGGTCTGGTGATGGGTTTAGCTCAAGCCAACATATGGGTTCTCTTTCTTTCGTCATATTTACGGTGCTTAAGAGCGCTCCAGTTATATGAAATAAGCATAAGAAAAGCTGTTAGGGAATCATACTGTGAAGATTGGGTACCCGGACGACAGATGTCGATTGTTCCCTTCAAACCGCTATGTTCTTCGTCACTCCAACGCTGCAGATTTCTAGCATCGAAACGTAGTCTTTGCAACTTATCTCGGGATTGTAGGGGTTGAGGCAACCAGGAACTCAATTCTGACACCTTGTCCTGTCAAATACACATGAGGCCCATTTCCTTTGATATCTTTTGACCATATGGGCCCCAAATGTAATGTTCTATGATCAAAAGCATTCTTCGCCAGATTTAATGTGGTAGCTCTTAGTTCTTTTGCACTTGGACTACGCCCATTGTGTTCAGACAGAAACCGCGGTGCACGAAGAAGCCTGTTCTTTGAATTGATAAATCTTCATTTTCATTGTTCTGAGGACGACAACAAGAAGGCCATTCAACTGCTTGGTCTTTTACAGAACCAAATAAGTTCATTGACTCGAGTATGAAATTTCATCCAGAACTTACATAACTGGACCAGTCTGCCTTCGTCTTCCTTCAAGTCTCAGAAGCAAGTCACTTCCAACTGAATCAATTGAAGCAACACATACCATCAACATAACTCAACACAAACTCTTCACAAACAGCCAACACGATGTCAGACACTCTCGAGAGCATGCATGGTGGCGCCGGATACCATGCCCGCTGCATGCAATGGTTGGAGGATAGCAAGCCATCCGATGCTCCGGCCGACTTCTCCAACTCCTATCCCAATAAGTCTAAGATCAATAATCGTAGCAACACCATTGGATCCCCAGACGTCTATGAGCACTCGGAAATTGGCAACACTGGAGTTGCTCGAGTTGGATCCTTTGGGGGCGGCCGTGTCAAGCAGCTGGTGGCCGGCTACGAGGCCCGTTCTCGCCGGACCGAAGAACTGGCCGATGAGGCCGCACGCCGCAAGCGAGAGACCACTAAAGCTTTGCAATCGGCCGCTGCTACTAATATTTTGGACGGAGACGATGGTTTCAAGGGTGTGGACCAGGCCGCAGGCACACCCTCAGAGGGAATTTGCAAAGAGAAGGCCTCAGACTTGGAGGACGACAACGGCGAGTTGGAAATAGCTGGTATCAAGTCAACAAGGGATCAGATCTGGACTAGGCAAGCAACATCCACTTCATCTAGTAGCCTGCAGGTCAGGTCTACTGGGGTTTGAAGCTTTTCAGGCCCTTACCCTCCTTTGCTCTTTCGGTCTTTGAAAGCCTGAATTCTTCAACTTGTGATAAAGGCTTCGTTGAATAAACGTCACTAAATTTGCACATATTAAACTTTCGTCGCATATCATGTCCCTCTGCCTGCACGTCTCTCGTATTCTTTCTTCCACATGACACTGTAAACTGCAAGCTTGTAATCGAGTTGCTTCCAATCCCAGGGGATCGTTTGGCTGGCCAGGCCATTATCCATGGACCTTAGTTATGACGCAGGAGCTATGGTCAGGTATCACAGAGACCAGGCCTTGGGTGCGTCATGAAATAACGGCTACTGAGCATTGTTCATCATTAATGGCATTGTGTGAAGCCACTTGTGATATGTTCTGAGAGATATGGTTGCCTATATATGAAGCCATGTTGTCCAAGCAGAACTTGAATGGTCGAACCATTATCTTCTTATTTCTTCTCTCCCGCATCAGAATCCAATGGTCAGTATCACAGTCGTAACCCAGAAGATTCGATCACCAGTAATTTGTTCGAACGACGTCCAGAATGGCCGAGAACGAAGGCAACTCTTTCTTTTTTCCGAATCCTCCCACTGAAAATAATCAAGAACTCGACGACAAAGGCGAAAATAGACGAGATTATCATGAGACATCTTCATCATCCGCCATGGATGACAGTCATGACTGGTCATTTCTAAGTGATCCTGATGGCTCTTTTGAACTAATTTCGGAGAGAGATGCGAATTCATCACCCTCATTACGTTCCCTCAGAAGCGTCCGAAGCCTTGGAAGCCTCGAACTTTCACCTCCACTGGCCCTGTCAGACTGGGGCTCAGATGACGAAGCCAGCAGCAGCGGAAGCGATGTATCACTGCGAAGCAGCCGTTCCGCCCCGGACCTGAGACAATTGCAGCAGCTTCCACCTGTTCCAAAACTGGACTATAGCAAGCATGGTCCTGCTCTGGAGTGGTTTATGTCTCAAACCTTCCTGGATGACAGCTGGAAAACACCTCCAGATTTCACCACTGAAGTCGTGGACAAGCGTGCCCGAGCCCCTTTTCCGAATTTTGTATTTGAAGGATCGACTCGAAATCATCGACATGATGCGTATTACAACATCTTGCTTCGTCGTCGAAAGATTAGAGATCGTTACAAGGACCGCGAGCTCCGAAATTTGGGTAATACGCCGGACTGTGACTGGCGCTGGTGTGGTTTCCCTAACTGCGAAGCGTCGACATGCCGGTACACCATTGAGTTCAATGACGGCTTTGGCATTTTTGCACACAAGATCCTATGCTATAATGACAAGGGCTCCAGGAAAGATGTATTGAGGGCGCTCTTATCCGACTTTGAGAGTATAGCTGAAGATTTGGGAGCTGGAATCCATGATCTTGTAGCTTTTGCAGTTTCCCCGCCGATCCTCTGCGCCATGGCTGATTGTGTTCCAACGTTTTTGGACAACGACGGCAACAAACGAGGGACATTCATATCCGTTAAGGATATTAAAACAGCAGAAATCAACTTCGAGGAGATTATGGTCTCTATGTCAAGGAATAGTAGGGAAGAACAAGCTCGGTTGCACAAGAAAATCTGGGCCAACGAAGGCCACGCGGTGTCGAAAACTGCCCCTGAGTTGGTGCTTGAGTACTTCATGCGAGCCGAAGCATGGCGTAAACGACAGACTGAAAGAGGTTACCCGTGGAATTGGGAAACTGGAGCTTCGGTCGGCATCTTCAAGATTATACTCGGCACGTTGAGGCGCCAGTTCGAGGACGGCCGTCTGATTTTGAGTGATGGGTCTCAAAAGGGGTTTGTGGAAAAGACATGGAGGCAATGGCTTGATACGTATCGTCCTTGGAACGATCGGAGGGTGGCTATTCTGACAGAATTGGAGGCCGATTGTACAGCGAAACGAGGAAAGGCCGACCAGACAAAGCACACTCATGAAGGGGTCGGCCAGAGTAAGGGTTGGTGGTGGCCCAGTCGACCTAGAGCTGCCGGCGTTGATCTGACGCGAAATCACTGAGTTTCAGAGCTCAAAGGTAAAGAACTTGTTTTGTATTTCATCGAGCTTTCTGTCGAGTTGCTGCCTCAGCTGCGTGACTCCCATGGTGATCCACCCGAACTCGGGATGAAAGGTGAGAAAGACAGTAACGACTGAGGACTCCTTCCTCCTACCTCACAAAAGGTGAATGGTTTTTCTCCGTCTTTTTCTACTCAACCACAGAAAAGGTTTCCCTGCCTTCTTTTCGCAATTTTTCGTCTTTCCACACAGCAACGCAAATTATCCTTGGTCGGGTCGGCCGCGCCCCGCGTCTCTTGACCATCCCATTGCTCGTATCCTCCTGAAATCGTTTCCAACGTCTCAGTCCTCGCCATCTTTACGCTACTCTCGCCCGTCCAGAAACCCATCGAGATGGCTTCCGGCGGTCTTTATCCGACCCCTACGCCCTCCTGGTTCACTCTGGCCGACCGCCATCACCTCGAGCGCGTCCTTGACGTGTCAGGCTACTCGGTATGTCTTCTATTACGTTTAAAGGCTTCAGACTGATGATTGGCTCCGTTGTCAGCGCAAGGGGAATAAAACGGCAGACACCCTCGATGAAGAAGCTCGGCGAAATCTCATTGAGATTGACTACCACCTTTTCCAGGATGGTCTCCCTGACTACTTCGACCGCTCAAAGCGCTACGATCGGCAGCCTGGAGACCCGCTCGATCGCATGTTTGCTGCGCTTCCCACGCCGGCCGATGACGAAAAGGTCACCTCTCCGGACGTAAAGCTTGAGAAGGGTATCGCTGACTACAACCGCCGATTTGTACTCGCCCTTTGGCCTTACGCGAACTCCTCACTCCAGCGTGTCGTCCAGATTTCAAGCGACCCCAACGCCCATGATTACTGGTGGCTGACGCGGTTTGCCTTCTCTCTCCACGAACGGTCTGATCTCTCCATCCGTTGCACCTTCAGCCAGCTTCTCGGTCAACTCGCTGTCTCTGGCACTATTCCAGTCAGCCCGGCCCCCGTCGCCGCCGATGAACTCTCCGTACCTGGTGCCTATCCTGCATCTTCTTCTTCGAATGATGCAACCGAACTATCCAGAAAGCAAGCCTGGCTTCGATACACTCGATTCATCTACCAAGGACGACATGACGAGGATTCCGACAACTGTTTACATCAAGTAGCTGCGAGTACAAAGTTGAATGATCTTCACGAGCTCTTTGATGTGAACAAGTGCGCTTTCTGTCACGTTCGCTGCGCCAATTCACCCAATAGGTTGCGGCACTGCTCAGGCTGCCACATCGAGGCATTCCGCTACATAAGGCGCGCCTATTGTTCGGAGAAGTGCCAGAAGGCAGATTGGTCAAACAATCACTATTACGCTTGCCAGAAGCGAAAGCACTTCCTCCGCGCCGTCGACATGTTACGTGCGGTGGCTCAAAAGTTCCAGAGCTTTACCTATTCCGAGCTTTTTACTGATGCGGCAGTGACGATGAATCTAGATGGAAGAGGAGACATGCCCGCGACCGAAGACCTGGCTGACAAGATGACTATGAAGAACTCTCGCACCGTTTTCTCGTCAACAGTCGCAGCTTGTGGGCCCTGGCTTGGTCGAGAAGGTTTGGACTGGAAGGCATGTCTGAAAACAGCGGACCCGGATGTCAAGAGGAAGCTTTTAGCGTGGGACGCTACCGACAACATCTACTACCACCTTCAGGGTTTGATATACCTCATCCTTGCGCGTAGGTGACCTTTACCCTCATCTCCAATTGTTACAGTATGCTGATCAGCAGTAGCACACTGCGATGCGATTGTCGAGATGACCGTCCTCAGTCGCAACGCTGAATGGATTGCTTCCACTGCCGGCGACATATCGCGCGAAACCAATGAGTTCCAGACCTCAAAAGGCAAAGATCCTATGTTCTGGCCTCGCCCAATCCTCAGCTGCCATATCAGAGGCGCCTCGACGGAAGAAGGCGTGTACGTGATTGACCTTCTTGGTTCAAAAGTTGGCCATGAGCACATTGTGCTCCCATACGATGCTTACGTCAAGTCTCGTCATGTGTCTTGCCTGTCCTCGGTGCCCCTTTACCCTACCAAGAGATGGGTTCCTCATCCTTATCCTGTCGAACAGAAGGGCCTCGTCGTCACTCGCGACGGTATTTCAGAGGCTCTTCGGTCGTCGATCATGAGATACTTCGCCCAGCACTGGGCGGACATGAAGGGGCCAGGGCACCTGGCCAAGTTGAAGGACGAGCCGTACGAAGTCTATCTCCAGCACTTTCTGAAATTGACAGATAAGATTCTGGAGGACGCTACCGCAAAGAGTCGTGCTGCCGGCCACTGCCAACGATACCTCCACCACGACCCCAACCCGTATTCGCACGAGTACACGATCGGAATGACATGGAGAGAGGCCGAGGTTTCTGTCTACAAGAACGTATGGATGAAAGCCAATGCGCACAAGACTATCATGGGTACCATTAGCGAGCAGAACAAAAGACTACCGGCCGGGTCGGAGACGCGCCGCCTTGTCCTTATGTGGATCGACCGGTTGGTGAAGCACCGCCAGAAGCATCCATTTGATGCCGCAGACATCCTAGGATCGAAGCTGTCCAAGCACTACAATCTCGCTGGAGATTTTGGTCTCGAAGAGACACGTGCGATCGAGTCTTCGTTTCTACAGTGGAGCGGTGTCCCGAAGCGTGAGGTTGAGCGATTCTTCACCTTCTGCGAAAAGATGCTCGGTGGCAACAAATTGGACGGCCCCATCACACCTGAGCTGTTCCGCACTCTGACGAGCCCAAATGGAGCAATAGACTTCATGAAGAATATGACCCCAGACGAAGCTCAGATGTTCCTTGGTATCGGTCACTTGATGATGAGCCCAAATGCATCTGATACCATTGAACACCTGCAGGCAAAGCTCCACGGCCTGAACATTGCTAAGAAGTGAAGGCTCAGTATTCTTTCAGAAGAGAGTTCTATTGGTTGGGGGACTTGATGCCGGAAACTTGGGGTCAATTTGGGGTTTCGATGGCGCGGCAAGCCAGCATCTGTATTTAGGTAGTCTGACGAGCATTGGACTCAGTGTAGTCGTGCTTATGTCACGTGTGTAATTCGTACATTCAGGGAAACTTCAACCTCACGGTCGCGTGAGCTGTGTTTTCTGTATCATACCAACTGTTCTTGGTTCCTATCAGGTTTTTGCTCGATTCCCTGTCGTCTCTATTGTCCCTGTCGTCTCTACTGTCCATGTCGTCTCTACTGTCCCTGTCGTCTCTACTGTCCCTGTCGTCTTTGTCGTCCTTGTTAAATGGCGTGATGGATGTCAAGTACTTCGAAGAGTCTATCCTCACTGCCAATTCTTGCTTTACCTCTCTATACTAGCTCTAAAAAAGATGGCTTCTTCACATGCCTCTCGTGTCGGCTCCACCCAGCTGATGCCCAACCTAATGCTTACAAAGTTCTTCTTGAACAGGCGGCTATTCATCTCGTCCATCTTTGTTTCAAGTAGTTCCCTCAATGCCTTGTTATGATCTCCGGCAAATCTGCGATCTAACCGTGATCTATCATTGCGGAGTCGTTTGGCCAACTCCTCCCATGATGCGGTCCAGAGGAGTGCCGTGTATTCGTTGAAGTCCCGACCAGACTTTCCTGTGTTCTCTCGGACGATGGAGACCATTGACTCGAAGGCATTTGTGCCATCGAATCCGTCTAGCTCGCCACATAGGACGGCAATGCCTTTCGCAATTTCTGTGATTGGTGCTGTTGGCTTTGGTCCGAGGATGCTTTCGCCACAACGACTAATATCCTGAAGACTGCGCGATGTCTGCCATGCCCAGAGCTGGCGCTCTTCCTCATCTATAGCCTGGATCATTTCTCCCCAGGTCATGCCTTTGCGACGCAAGTGCTCGCATCGGAAGAACTCGCTGACCTTCTCAACAGCACCGTATTTTTGGAAGGTGGCTGTGAGATCTTTTCGGCGGCAGCCGAGGTATTTTAGTAGGTAGTGCTCTCGAAGGATCTGCTTAAGCTCGACAATCAAGTCAAAATATCTGGTCTCGTTTCTGAATGCTTCCTCTAACTTATGTGTGGCGGTCCTCTTTAAACACTCGCTGGTTAGCCTCCTTTCTTTCTTGTGTGCCCATTCGATTCCTTCTGCTGACGCGGCAAGAAGGATTGAGGCAAATCGTTCGCTGTGGTGGGTGATCCATCGACCACGGATTCGGAGATGCTTATCAGCGAATTCCAAGTTATCCAGAAAATAATCAGTAGCGTGCCTGAAATAGCGTTCGTTGACAGCCATATTTGTTCTTGTTGTGGTGGTGGTAGTCATGTTTATTACTTTTGAAATAGAGGAGATTAAGTAGCAGAAAGATGTCTTCAGTTTGTAATGGGTGCGATGATAGATAAGATCTGGGAAAAGTCTTTCAGTGCATTGCGTCAATCTCTTGGTCTTTAAATGGGTTTCCTAGAGTCAACGAGTAAAGTTTTCCAAGCCACAATGGTGCATGGCACCAAAATGGCCGCAACCTTTCTGTAAACAGCCCCCATGTCTCTTTTTCAGTTACTGAAGAACAACTTAACGTGGAGTTCTCATAATTCTGCAACTTGAACGTGGGTTATGAGACTTCAACCCTTCATGGTAGACGCGGCAGCCATCCGAAGACGCGGCCCCACACGGCCGGACCAATGCCGGACCACCTAGAAAATACCGAGCGACCGTGTAGCTGGTCTCATATTTCAGTGATGGTCATCTTTGTTCTTCAATTTTCCCCATTTCGTTCGACTCTTTTCAGAAGCCTTTGCTCTTCGCTGGGGTGGTGTCAGTGAAAACATCATCGGGTTGACGGGTCGTCAAAAGGGTGTGGGTGATTGGCCAATCAGATCAACCTCGATGATGGTGCACGGACCACCAGAAATTTGTCCGATCGAAGTTGAAGCTCGAAAGCTTCGTCGACTTTTTCCATCACCAGCATATCCAGCGGCAGGACAGGCACATCCCGCTCACCAGACACGTACGATGACCTCCAAACCCTCTCCGCGACCCATTTACTGACTCTATGTTGCAGAATGCCGCCTCGGTTACCAACACAGGCCGCCCGCGCCCTGCGCAGGCTGGCGACCCCCTCCACCCCGATCGCACGATATCTCAGCACCACAACTCCTTACCTCGCGGCCCCCTCAGCAGCAGGCCCCGGCAGCTCCTTTGCTCGCATGCCCGCCGACTACGTCCCCGCGACAAAGCCTCCCTCCGCTCGCCCGCCCGAGACCCGCAAGTCGCAGCTCATCCGAACATACACCTCCCTCCTCCGCACGACACCCCTCATCCTCTTCTTCCAGCACAGCAACCTGACCGCAGACGAGTGGTCCGCCGTCCGTCGCGAGCTCAACAATGCCCTCGACGCAGCCACGCCCGAAGGCTCCCCGGTGCTGGGCAGCGACGTCCACCTGCAGGTCCTGCGCACGCGCATGTTCAACGTCGCGCTGAAGCTGGCCGAGTTCTACGACCCCGAAGTCGCCAAGGCAAACCCGAACACGCAGCAGGGACGCAAGGGCCCGCTGGTGCACGATCTGAGCATGGCGGCGTACGAGGCGATGAAGAGCTTTGAGGTGCCGGAGGACTCTGCCTACGCGCAGATCTCGCCTTTGCTGTGCGGACCGACGGCGGCGCTTGTGTTCCCCGCCGTGTCGCCTGCGCACCTGGCTGCCGCGCTGAGGATTCTCTCGCCCAGCCCGCCCAAGTTCCCGGCGCCGACGAGGAAGAAGAGCCCGAGTTACTACGACCCGCTGGTGCAGAACGGTCTGCAGAAGTTGCTGCTCGTTGGTGGACGTGTCGAGGGCGACGTGTTTGACGTGGAGGGCGTCAAGTGGGTTGGTGGCATCGAGGGTGGCCTGGACGGCTTGAGGGCACAGCTTGTGTACATTCTCCAGAGCGCTGGTCTGGGTCTTACGAATGCCTTGGAGGCTGGCAGCAAGAGCTTGTGGCTGACACTGGAGGGACGGAAAACGATGTTGGAGGAGGAGGGCAAGCCGGCTGAGGCTGAGAAGAAGAAGAGCGAGTAGATGGGAGGGAGTGTATGATATTCCTGTAAAAGTCTGTATTATCAGGAGACGACGGATCTCTACTATAGAGTTGATTCATGATATTCTGCTGGTATGGAGGTGATTTTGGAGCTTCGACGTGCCAGCAAATTGGTTGGTCGGCAACTCTCACGTTGTTGTCTAGGAAAGCTCGGTTTCCTAATAGAAATCGCCTATCGATTATGTGTCTATGGTAATCCTTAAGTATACCGGCGATAACGACGATGCCGGTAGAGAAGACGATGACAGCGGCGGTGATCACAAAGAACCTACAAGCAATCTGGTCGTTGTCACAGCTTACTAGGTACTTAGTATTACTAGGTTACCAAAGCACTGATTTCGCTTCCCTTTCACAGAAAGCATTGAAGTGTATTATTGAATCCACATGAGAGGGGGCGGTTCAAGCGATAACAAGGGTGAGCCTTCCGACGATGCATGTCCGTCACAGGATAGTGTCTTCTGGTTTGTTGTCAAGAAACAAGCCAAAATACGGAAACATATAGCTGGTTGACGGGAGTTTAAACAGACGAACTTTCTTAGCCTGGCATGTGTCTGGGTTTGGCTCTCGTCTTAGATTGTGCCTCAGTGACAGACTGACAGTTGGGAGGGATGGTGCAATTTGAGTGGTGGTTGCGGGGTGCAAGCCACTAACATGACCGCTGCAGGTGACCTGCATGAACGCGCCGTCGGACCGAAAAAGACCCCTAATTAAGCTTGAGGCGTAAGCTCCAGCGGGAAAAAGGTTGCGAAGGTGCCTCGAGTCCAGCGTAGGTAGTGTACCTGACGCCATGCCATTGCGCGTTTCTAAGCTCTCCAAATCGGCCAGCTGACGTACCTCTCCATTCGTACTCTCTCCACGCATTCCTCAACAACATATCACCATCAACACGAACACCCCGCAACCACGACTTGCTTTGATCGTCGCACCCTCGACGTCCGTTCCTTTACGGCGAGCTGAATCTTCGAGCAAACATCGAGCGCAGCCCCGCTCCGACGAGAAGCGCCCCGGAGACCGAGCATCACGATGGACTTCGCTCCGTACCAATCCTCCCCGCCAGAGCGCGAAAGAGCTCTCTCCCCGCCGCTCGCATCGCCGCGCGCCTCCGGCGACTTCCGACGACCGTTCTCGCCCTACAACCAGCCCTCGCCGCCGCCCTTGCAACACCCGCAGCCTCAGCGCGGATGGCAAACGAGCCTGCCTGGGTCGTACCCTTCGGCGGACGCACATCGGGAGGGCGTGAGCGAGTTTGACACGAGCTTGGGGATCCGGTTGGACTACGAGGCCGCTTTGGCGTACCTGGCCTTCCCGCCACTTGGCGCCATCCTGTTGTTGATTGGGGAGCGAAACAGCGACTATGTGAGGTACGTGGAATGGGACACGGCGGAGGCATCTCGAGGTCCTGATCATTGACCCGCGAAGGATGGCAACATGGCCGACCCCGCGATGCCTTTCAGTGGGCATGGGTGGCAGATGGTGTACAAGTTTCTGACAGGGGGCACAGATTCCATGCGTGGCAGTCGGCGCTGCTCTTCACGGCAGTCATGATCTTCCATTTGGTCTTCCTCTCATGGTCCGCATTTCTCAGCTGGCTCTTCTTCATCGGGGATGTCTTCATGATGATCTGGCTGGCGCTGAAGGCATACCAAGATGCGGATACGCTGGATAGGTATGTTCATAAGCATCCCAAACAGGGACGTGCGCTTACAAGTCGCAGGTTCGAAGTCCCCATCATCGGGGCGCTGGCCAGCCGTATTTTGGACGACGAATGATATAATGAAGGAGCATCCTGTTGTAAGATGGCAGCTATGCGGTGTAATGACTGGTTTTATGCATTTGCGCACATCATATACCCTTTTAGTCGGTGGAAGATGGAAGAGCGTCCACGGGTGCGATGTCTAGTCTGGAGCTTGGCCCTGCGTCAAAATTGGGCTGGGATTTGGTTAGATGCGATAGCGAGCGACAATATCTTGTGTCGATTCGTTGGGCGAATTTTCAGAAGCAAAATAGAAATCAAAACATTCCATGGGATTAAAGAGGCGTAGCTCGTTCTTGATTTCACTTGGTCTTGCTTGCTATTGCAGATACAGTGCTGAGTACCGTATAGACACAGTCGGTGCACAGTAGCCGGATCCGGTCGGACTTTCCTCCTAGCGCTTTCCGGCCTGGCCACTCCGGCTGAACGCACAGGGCAGCTCCAGGCCAGGCTGATTACGCGACTGTTGCTTGCCTTGAGAGAGTAAGGTAGCTCGAGCCTCACGACCGCAGCTCGGAAGCTGTCCCTTTCAGACTCAACAAAACACCCACCTCACGACGAACAACGGCATTTCACCTCCCATCGCCATCACTCCTGACGCATTGACGATAGACACGGCGATTGTTCTCTACTTGACGATAATTTAGCACTTTTAATTCCGTCCGCCCGCACACCCCGCCACCATGTCGACCCTCGAGGATCTTGAGGATCTCGATCGTCAGGATCAGAACGAGAAGAAGAGAGATGATGGCGACAAGGACAAGGACAAGAAGAAGCCCACAGCCGAAGGTGATGCCGACATGAAGGATGCCGAGGAGGACGAGGAGGACATCCTGGACGACGAGATCCTGAACCTCAGCACCCAGGACATCCAGACCCGCAAACGCCTGCTCGAGAACGACTCCAGAATCATGCGCAGCGAACTGCAACGGTTGACGCACGAGAAGGCTACCATGGGGGAGAAGATCAAGGAGAACCTCGACAAGATTGCCAACAACCGGTATGCCCCTCCATCCAGCTGGTGATGACGAAATGGCTGACTTGCATGCTCCACCAGCCAATTACCCTACCTCGTTGGTAACGTCGTCGAACTCCTCGATCTCGACCCGACCGCCGAATCATCTGAGGAGGGCGCCAACATCGATTTGGATGCCACCCGCGTCGGCAAGTCGGCAGTTATCAAGACCTCCACCAGGCAAACCATATTCCTTCCGTTGATCGGTCTGGTCGACCCTACGACCTTGAAGCCCGGCGACCTGATCGGAGTCAACAAGGATTCCTACCTTATTCTCGACACTCTGCCTGCCGAATATGACAGCAGAGTCAAGGCTATGGAGGTTGACGAGAAGCCTACGGAGAAGTACACCGATGTTGGTGGTCTGGACAAGCAGATCGAGGAGCTCGTCGAAGCTATTGTCTGGCCCATGAAGGAGGCTGAGCGCTTCAAGAAGATTGGCATCAAGGCGCCGAAGGGTACGTTACAGTAGCGCTATTTCGTTGGACAAGACAATACTGACTTCACCAGGTGCTCTGATGTACGGCCCTCCAGGTACCGGAAAGACGCTTCTTGCCAGAGCTTGCGCAGCGCAGACCGATGCCACCTTCCTTAAGCTCGCCGGTCCCCAACTGGTGCAAATGTTCATTGGTGACGGTGCTAAGCTGGTACGAGACTGCTTTGCTCTCGCCAAGGAGAAGGCCCCCGCCATCATCTTCATCGACGAGTTGGATGCCGTCGGTACGAAGCGTTTCGACAGTGAGAAGAGTGGTGACAGAGAAGTGCAGCGCACCATGTTGGAGCTTCTGAACCAGCTGGACGGTTTTGCGTCAGACGACCGCATCAAGGTCCTGGCCGCCACGAACAGAGTCGACGTTTTGGACCCCGCCCTGCTTCGTTCAGGTCGTCTCGACCGAAAGATCGAGTTCCCCCTGCCGAACGAGGAGGCCCGCGCGCAGATTCTTAAGATCCATTCCCGCAAGATGAAGGTTGACCCCGCTGTCAACTGGGGTGAATTGGCTCGCAGCACAGACGAGTTCGGAGGTGCCATGCTTAAGGCTGTCTGTGTGGAGGCTGGTATGATTGCCCTGCGTATGGGCAAGAACAAGATTAGCCACGAGCACTACGTGGATGCCATTGCCGAGGTGCAGGCCAAGAAGAAGGACGTAAGTGTTATAGCGAGCCACGTGATTCCAATTGTACTGACTTGCACCAGACGGTCAACTTCTACGCTTAATCCATCCAAGTGTTGGATGCCGCTGGGTATCTGGGTTTATTGCTTCTGGCGGGATTGGGGCATAGAGGATTCGAACGCGATAGACAACATTGTACGATTACCACGGACACTCAAGCGGCCCTATAGGAATGGAAAGCAGGGTTGGCGAGCCAGTATGATCCGGATCGTGATGCCGTGATGTTGTTGTTTGCAGTGCATTCGGGTCTACTGACCATCGAACAGTGAGGCCTCTCGCCAAGTGGCGAGTATGTTGGGCACTATTGCCGTCTAAACACCACGAAGCAGATGGGAGAGTGCCCCGAATTACTGTCGTCAAGCTCGAAGATCACCAGAAGATACGCGTGTCAGCAACAACGCGCTTGTGCTATGGGGGCCAGATCGACGAAACGCCAGGAACATCGCGGAGTTGCCGCTCCTCGAGATTACCGCAAGGCGAGACCTTGTCGAGCTGATGACGATCGCATGCGAGAGTCTCGAAGGGCTTGGTAGCGGTATGGCTTTGATGGCTGCACAGATTACCTTCTCACTCCGTACTACCTTGGTTGTTGTAGGCTCTCACTACTTCATCTCGCCATGATACTACACCGTTACGTACACATCGGTCTGTTTGGGTACAAGCAACCACCAGAGTCAACGCTCCAGCATTAAGCAGCCAATTGAAATGGCCAATGGCTAGCCAAGTGGTTTAATGCCCTTTGCGAGGTATAACGCGTGGCGCTATCCCGCTCGCCGTTATCCGTCCTCGAAGCGCTTGTCGGCGGCGCAAATAACACGACGTCGACCGTTGACCTTGTTTTGGACGGGCGATCGTTGCTGTATCTGGGGTCGCCTCCAGGGCGATCGAGGGGACAGGGGGCCTCAAGATGGCAGTCATGCCCTAGCGCCTCAAGTGCGGCTTTTCTCCTATTTTCCTTTGCAAGATTGATCTCGGTTCGCTCATTTGGGAGCTTGGCTGCCTCTGCTGTGGATGAATCGGTGACGATGGAATTGCGGTGCAGAGGTGATGAGAGGAGTGATTGGGGTGACATCGCGGGAGGCGAAATGTGCGAGCCCATGCAGCAAGGCGAATCAACCACCCCGGCCTCTCTGGCGCTGGAAACATGGTGCAGGCGGCAGACTTCTCTGCACGCAGTAATGCAGTGTCCCAAAAAGTTGTGAGTTGCGAGTTGTCTCTTTGGGTGGTGTGGTATTGTCCCGTCGTTGGGGGACGTCGCTGCGGCTTCAAGTGAGCGGTACCGACGGTTCGGACCAGGCTATGACGTGATTGCAGCGGTGCACGCCTTCGCCCCTCTTCGGCGATTTTTCGACATCCAAGGCGGATGAAAGCTGTAAGAAGCTTACTTGACGGCGTGTATTACAACCTTCTAAGTTTCTGCGACGGCGTCGGATGGGGAGCATATCACGGTAAGCCCTACGAACTGAGACATTTTGCGGCCCCCGATCTGGGAACGGCCCCATTTGCCGGTGCTGCGGCGGCGGCGTCGTACATGCGTCCCCCCGACTTTCTCGTGCCGGATCGAAGGAAGGATGGTGCGTGGTGATGAGGTTGTGTAATTTCCTGCCCCTGGAGCCGATCGCCATGATCATGCATGTTCCCAGCAGAGCTGAAGTCGTCTGAAAAATTCCCATCTTGCTGTTCATCGCATTCTGTTCCTGCGGGTTTGTTTCCATTATTATCAACGCACGTTGCTGTTGATGGCGATTTTGGACGCATTAGACTATGTAAAAGGCGAAGATGTGCTGCTTGCTGCATTACAGCTGGTCAAGGACCTGCTCGCCGTGGGGAACTAAACCATCATGGCGTCGCCGATCGGGGAGGGAACTGAGCCACTCAGCCACGGGCGTCACGGCGTAGACACGAGGAGATCGTCGACCGTTGGGAGGAAGAAGTCTTTTTGGAGGTAGGGACTCGGTGTGATGACGCCGGCCACCTCCTCCGCTTTGCAGAACATCAAGGATGGGGTCGGGCTTGCGGCAGGGTAGTGTGTGTGGTGTGTGGTTGTGGTGGTGCGTTGGGTGGGTGCCGGCAGTTAAGACGCAGGGGAGAGGCGCATATACCCCCGCTTCCGCGTTCTCGACCGTCGTCAGAGGACGTCCAACGACACGTCGAGGCCTTGGTCTGTGGTTTGCTTTGCTCTTGGGCTTGGAGGAAGTTTGGTACGCTAGTTTGGGTTGGGGTGTGGTTGCATACCGGTTTGTCTCCCCAGTGTTGTCAAAATCATATCATGTCTAATTCCCTTTTGCAGAGGTATTGTTTGGCTCCTCTCGCCGCGGCACGTTGCCGTGTTGTTGATATCCGCAAACATTTTGCCTTCGGCCCCGGATTTCTCGTCTGATTGTTGCATTTTCAACAAAGAGGATAAGAGAAAGGGGTGGAACAACCCGGCTGGGTGGAACAACCCGGCTGAGTGGGAGGTATAGAGTGCTTGCATTCGAATTACCCGACGCCTTGCCTCTGCAACACACTGCAGTGACGATCGCATTTCCCTCGAAGCGGTTCGGTTATTGTATGCTACCTTGTTTTTCTCCCCTTGGGCCTTCGGGGCACCTTCCCAAAATCCTGTTCATGCAGATTTGTATGCGGTTTGCGAGGCTCGTTTTCGTCTGTATGGGTTGACGTATGCGGTGCCCCTGAGAGTGACAGGGAGTCTCTTTCGGGACGTCCTGGCTACGCTACCTACCGGCGAGGGTTTGATCAGCCGGCCGTTTTCCGTCATGCGAGATTTGGACAATGCGGGTTGTCTGTGTACAGGGAAAAAGCCCATTGTCTCGGCGGTCTGGCGTCTGGCGGTTTGGCGCCGAAGCCTCCTGGGTCTCGGTTGCATTCCGTGGCTGCCGCTGTCGTCAGTCTGGACCGCGAAGGTAGGGTTCTTGGTACCGATATCTTGTCACCTGTTATCCCCTCCTGTCTGAGATTCGAGGCTGTCGTCACCACTTGAGAGCGTTTCTGTGCGTGTCACATTGCGGTTTGTCTGATGTCGACCAAGATCGGCAGAGGGTTGTTTTCTATGGTTTTCCTTGTTTGGAGACCTTGCCTTCTGCGCCTCGTGGAGTTCAGGTCGAGTGGCCACAGTTACATGCCGGAGTCGAGGATGGAGCCGGGGGCATTTCGGCTGCAGTACACTGCAGTGGCATTTATTTGCCCTTGCGTTTGGAGAGTGGGTTGCTCATTTGTGCCTGCGTCTGGTTGCTTTGGTGCATCGTCCCAAGGCCCCATGTGGATGACCACGTAAATCCATCCTCTTCAGGAGAATCGCCCCGGAGCCGTTTGTCTTGTGTACCCCGGTCCAACGGCGTCTGGGTACTTCACAGTAGCCCTATTTCTCCTCCTCGTCCACTTATACGCCTCGTCCAGTAAGATGAAGGCATCGAAGCCCCTCCCATTCGGTGTGTGGGCAACGGCAACCTATGATATCAAAGAAGGCGGCTGTTCATCTGCCAAGGTCACGGCTAAGCGGCCTCCTAACTGCATGTGGCAACCTCCTCAAGGCTCCATTGGAGATTCAGGTACCGATCTGATTAGTCTCCTCGAGGGAGCTGGTGTGCTGGCATGGATGGGGTGACTTTCATCTCCATCCAACCACGGCACCCCGGTGCGTTCAGCAGACGTGAAGAGGTCTCAGCTTATCGAGAGCCAGGGATGAGGAGAAGGAGGAGAGCCCCATGAGATCGACAGAGCCGTGGTCGTCACTCCACGAGCTTCGAGAGGTGGGCTATATCCAGTTCCAGATTATGGATGCTGGGTTCTATCACGATGTCACCCCAGCCGGGGGGGCTGCGATGGCAGCGCGAGCGCGTCCTGGTTTGCGCGCTGCGGACGATGGAGCATCGTCATCGAGAGGGAGCCCCGTGACGAAGGTTAAAACTGTGTATTCTGGGCTCGTTCTGGTTATTGTGGAATGTGTATAAAAGGCAACGTCTTGTCCAGGTAAATGGTCTCGTCTCTCCTCCTCATCAGCCCATCGCCAGTCTTCAACTCTCAACTCTACAGAGCCTTCAGCTTCAAGCTTCAAACCAGCCTTCGTTACCTACCAATCGTTATTCATACCACCAAACCACCTCAAACACAAATCATCACAATGCAGTTCCTCGTCGCCGTTGCCGCCCTCTTCGCCAGCGTTGCCGTCTCGGCTCCCCTCGACGAGCGCCAGGCCTACGTCGCTTGCTCCGGCCTCTACGGCACCGCTCAGTGCTGCGCTACTGACGTCCTCGGCGTCGCGGACCTCGACTGCGGCAACCCGCCCGAGACCGTGACCTCCGCGGACAACTTCAGCGAGGTCTGCTCTGCCATTGGACAGCGTGCTCGTTGCTGCGTCTTGCCCATCGTAAGTTACCCTTGATGAAGACAGTCTTAGCTTGAACAAGATGCTAACTATGTATACAGCTTGACCAGGGCATCCTCTGCAACACCCCCACCGGTGTCTCTGACTAAATGCATTACATGAGAAATGGACGGAGTTATAAGCTATTCTGAGCTATCAGGCTGTACGATGTTGGACGGTGTACTTGTACAGATTCGAATATTGGGCAACAATTGAGATACCTTAGGAGGGAATACGGGCTAAGGGTTGGTGTCACGAGAGATGGAAAAAGCGCCGCTGTTATGCGGCTGTATAAAACTTGTCTAGTTGGAATAAATTTCCTTGATCGCAGTCGGAGCTACGCCGTGCATCTGGACCTAGTACCGGCCGTCCATGATCGACCATCCCGGCCAAATCGAGACCCATCCGGCGGAGGCACCGTGAACCCATTCCAACGGCACCGGAAACTTAGCAGCAACCCGTCGCTGGAGGGATGAGAGACCGCGGGAGCTACAGCCTTTCCGCTCCTGATGACGGAATATCGGAGAGGGGGAGCGCGTCGGGCAGTGACGTTATGGACCGGTCTAGGCCCCCGTCAAGTTTGGGACGAATCCAAGGTGAGGAAATTGGGAAATTCGGTGTCGGTGGAAGCATGTGAGTCTGGTTTGTGCATCCCGACGCACAGACCGCCAGCTGGCAGCGCCAGCGCTACCCCACAATCCCGGCCCCGTCCGTCCCATCATTTCAACCAGTGGCGGTGCGTGAGTGGCTACTTCTTTTTTCTGATGGGCATGGCGTTAGCTCAGTATGACATCACCGGAGCATTTGGTCCTGGCGCCAGCCATTGCGGTTGCTGTGAGACTCAGACAGACAGCTCCAAGCTACCTACCAACTCCACGAATACCGCCACAGCATCAGAATGGCACATGGTGAGGCAGATAGACACCTTTGTTGAAGCCAGCCCGTCTCCTCGGCTTAGGGGACTCACGTTTACAAATAACCCGCAGACAGCATAAATGGCATCCTGTCTCTCCCCAGTTTTCCCATCAAAGTACGGTTTCACCACCGGGCTCAAAACTGACCTGCAACCTTAATGTCCAGCGCCATGCACGCGCCGCCGCGGGTACGTATTGGGGTCTAAGAGGCTAAGAGGGCGGCAGCCCACTGACAGGGGGGAGCTACGTCATGCTGCGAGGAGGCAAGCTCCCGGGGAGCTCTGTGAGTGGCCACAGCAGCAGCTCCCGCATCGTCTTTTCAGCAGATCATCGTGGCATGTGGCCTGTCCCGGTCGATGCCATTGCATTGAATTGACGTGATTAACCGTAAATTGGGTGCCTGCCCTGGTTCTTTTCCTCTGTTTTTTCAGCTGTTAGTAGCACTTCAGTGCCACCGAGCCACAGACGGGAGAAGGGGCGGGTGCACAGAAGCTCCAGGTGCGATCAGATCGGAGGAAGGAGCATACATCACATCAGACATGGTGCTTCTTGCCTGCCACTGGACTCTCCCTTGTATGCAGAGCTCCTTCCCCATCCCCCACATTGCACTTGCCTCCTCTCGTCCAATCTACGCTACCTACGTAGATATGAGCTCCTGAGGCAGGAGGGCATCACATTATTATGTACAATAGGCAGGCAGCCTCTCTGGTCTGGGCAGGTACGTATGTATGTACGTACATATGCAGCACCAGCACCAGCACCAGCACCACCAGCTCGAGAGCAAGACCAGCACACTGGGCCAAATGTAGCCACAAATTCCCACAAACGCAGTGCAGTGACGTGATGGATTTCTGACGTTAGACGTGAATTGGATACCTAGGTCCCGTCATTCATGGGCCACGGCCACGCCTTCCCTCCGTGCCTCCCTGTCGTCGACCCTCCACCAACCGCTACCCACGTACACCAATACCTTGCACACCTATTACGTCTCGCATCAAACAAAACAAAACCCCTCCCCCTTGGCAGCTTTCCACATTTCTCCCCTTCTGCCTCACTCTCACAATAACTTCACCTTGTGTTTCTACTCTCTACTCGGTTCTTCCAGCCTTTTCATTTTCGTGATACCCCCTCCCACTGCTCCTGCTTCATTGGAAGACTGACAGCAGACCGCCGCTATGCGTTTCCTCCCCGCCGTCCTCACGGCTCTGGCCGCCCAGGGCGCCGTTGCCAGCTCCTGGTTCTCTAAGGCTGGTAAGTACACATTCATATCGACATCTCTGCTTCTTGTAATCACGAGACTGACTCCAAATCTGCAGCTTACAACAAGTGGCACGAGACGGAGCTCGAGCGTTGGCTCTCCGACCACGACATCCCCTACCCCACTCCCGCCGACCGCAAGGATCTCGAGAAGCTCATCGAGAACAACTGGAATGACTACGTCGTCTCTCCCTACAACTCGTGGGACGCCGACAGCTTGCAGAAGTACCTCCAGACCAAGGGTGTCGAGACCGAGAACGCCGCCAAGGCCAACAAGGACTCTCTCGTCTCCCAGGTCCAGAGCACCTGGTATGAGACTGGTGATCAGGCTCAGAACGCCTACCTTAGCGTCAAGGACTGGATCCTGGATACCTGGACCGACAGCCAGCTGAAGGCTTTCTGCGATAAGCACGACATCCCTGGTATGGTCATCCAAACCTCGATACTGAAGAAATGGCCACTGACATCATTGTAGTTCCCCAGCCCCGCCAGCGTGACACCATTCTCTCCAAGGCTCGTTCCAGCTACGAGACCGTTGCTAAGAAGGCTGGCGAGACCGCCGCCTACCCCGGTAACTGGTTGTACGAGACTTGGTCTGGTAAGCTCAATTAGTTCTCGCTGCCATGGTTACTCTCACTAACAATACGTAGAGTCTGATCTCAAGGAGTGGCTCGACACTCACGGTTTCCCCGCTCCCCAGGTCACCAACGTAAGTAGCACAGACAAGCCCATTGTTAAAAACCAAACTGACATCGTATTCCAGCGCGACAAGCTCATTGCCTCGGTTCGCCGCAACTCTCGCCTTGCTTACCTCAAGGCTCAGGAGCAGGCCGCCAGCGCCTCCGCCTCTGCCCAGCAAGCATACGCCACTTTGACTGACATGGTCATCGACGCTTGGAGCGAGTCTCAGCTCAAGGAGTTCGCTGACAAGAACGGCATTCCTGGTATGTGCTGTCATTAACCTTCTGATCACTGTTGCGTAATCTAACACTCTCCAGTTCCCCAAGGCACCAAGACCAACGAGCTCCGCGCTCTCATCCGCAAGAACCGCGCCGACTTCCTCAACAGCAACGTTGCTGGCAAGGCCTCCAACGCCTTTGGTGCTGCGACTTCCAACGTCAACCAGGCTGCTGCTCAGGCTACCGATGGTGCCTCTCGCGCCGCTCAGGAGGCATTTAACGAGGCTGTTGGCACCTGGTCCGAGAGCCGTCTCAAGGCCTACCTCGACGCCCGTGGCATTCCCGTTCCTCAGGGTTCCAAGACGGATGAGCTCCGTGCTCTTGTCCGCAAGAACCAGCACAAGGCTGCTTCCGGCTGGTCTGCCTGGACCTTCGATGATTTCTCCGTTGAGAACCTCAAGAAGTACCTCTCTTCCAGCAGCGATGCTACTGCCAAGAAGGCTGCTGAGAAGAAGGATGCCTCCCGTGATGAGCTCCTGAGCGCTGCTCAGTCTGCCTACAGCTCTGCTTCCTCTGCCGGCGGAACCAGCTACGCCTCCGTCACCAGCTACCTCAGTGCCGCCACCGACTCCGCCAAGTCGAGCGTCTTTGACACCTGGAGTGAGAGCGAACTCAAGTCTTACCTCGACAGCTACGGCGTCAAGGTTCCCCAGACTTCCACCGTCGATGAACTCCGTGCCTACGCCCGCAAGCAGTACACGTACTTCAAGTACGGTACCTCCACTCCCTCTGAGACCCTTCTCGCTAAGATCGAGGAGAACGCCAAGGGCGCCTGGAACTGGGTTACGAACCAGATCGGTCTTGGTGCCGACGCTGCGCAGAAGAAGGCTGGCGAGGCCAAGGAGAAGGCCAAGCAGGAGTTGTAAATGTAGTATCCTCAACTCTTACCTATCTAGCACCATCACGATGGTGAAGGTGGTTTCACAAGTCACGGACTTACGACGGATGACAAAATTTGGGTTTCCGACTTGCTTTTAACGACTTTGCACTTGGCTTTGGCATGGTTCGAGGGTCGTTTTACCCTCAGGACCCATGGGTAGTGTTGGCATCGGACTATTTTTCGTTTGCCCCTTCTGCTTCTGGGGCCCAGGACTGTACACTATCAATTAGGAATGAAGCATAAGATGATAATTTGCCTACCTCTGTCTGCGTCATTGATGTGAATTTGCGGCTGATTATTTCTGTGATATGCACCAACAACTTTGCACCTTTCCATGCGTAATCATGTTTCTTGATTTAGATGTAGTATTGCGTAAAACGAATTGTGACTTTTGATATCTTGGCTATTCATGTGCGTTGAGCTCATGTCCTCATTACCATGCCATGCGACCTCCCATTTTCACTTGACAAACGCCTACTTTCTGGGGTTCCTCCTCTGGGGAGGACGCTATCTGGAAAGGACACCCCTGACAACCCCATGCAAGTTCGGCTTGTTGTCAAAGACCAGCTCGTTGATACCTGTCTCCTCGCCAGTACCCTGCTCCAGCCAGCGCGCCAACAGGTCGTTGCTCTCCTTGGGCTTGACAGTGTCGTCACGAGTGCCGACCGTGATGTGGGCCACAGCATTGGTGCACCTCCAGAAGCCCGAGTTGCTCGGGTCAACGAGACGCACGACGATCGCCATGATACGGTCGTCGAATACCACCTGTTTCGGTTAGTCTCGATATCACAGTAGGAGGGTTGTGTGTGAGTCTTACCCGTTCCATGTCGACATCGCACTGGCCCAAGGAGGGAATGTCAGCCTGGTTCTCGACCTGGCTTTCTGCGGCAGCGTGTGTGCTGAGGTACTCCTGCCACAACTCCGGGTGCTCTTTGGCGCTTGCGCGGTGCATCAGAGTGACATGGAACTTGGGCTGTACCCGACGTGTCTGAACAAGCTGCTTGTAGAAGCGCGCGAGAGGCATGCCCGCCTTGTTGAAGGCGCCGTCGAGGACGCCACGAACCTCCTGGGCCGGGACGTCGACAGACATGTACTCGAGGGGCTTCTTCTTCGGCTTCTTGGACTGTTGCTGCTGAGGCTGCTTGCGGGGGCCACGATCAGGGATGTTCTGCTTGAACTCGGGCTTGTACTCGATGAAGGCGGACTGGATGACCTCGTCGAGGCGCTCGGCAGAGGGTACCTCGGGGATCAGATTGGGGTACATCTTGCGGAGTTCAGTGATGACCCTTTCGAGATTGACACGACTGCCAGCGATTGGGTCGAGATGGATCACGTTGTCGAAGCCGTTGTCAGGAGGGGAGAAGGCGGAGACGGGCTCAAAGCGGCTGACGAACCCTTCCATCACACCAAGGAACTTTTCGGCATCTGTGGCGGCATGGATGGTTTGATGGTTGTCACCGCGGGCGAGGACACGCTCCTGGGTTATACGGCGGACTTCGTCAACATTGCTGTCATCGTGGTTGAAGTAGAGAGCGACAAGGCGGGCGGTCTTATGCTGGAGCTTGACATCGGTGATGAGCTGCTTTCGCTCGTGCTTCTGGGCGTTGTTCCGGTCGGCAACAACGACGGGCGTATCCTTGAGAAGGTCCAGTACCATCTTGGTGAAGCGGGGAGGACGGCCCTTGCCCGAGATGTTGTCGTTCTGAACATGACCCCAGTTGAAGAGCTGCGTGAGAGCAACCGCGATCGTGGTCTTGCCGCATCCGATGGTGGCGATGGGGCAGAGAATCACATCGCCAGTGACATCACTATTGACGTTGGAAGGCTCTTCGAGCTCGAGGTTAGCTGCGTCGGAACCCTTCATGTTCTTGAAGGCGAGGAAGTCGTTGCGCAGGGCGATGATGCCGTGGTTCTGCTGGTAGAGTTTGCCGAGTTGAGGATCTGCCTGGAGGCGACGGCGGGCGTAGAGAAGGTACTCCTCGGTAATCTTGACGTGCTTCTTGTACTTTGGTGGGCGGCCAGAGATCATGGCCTTTGTGCACTCTCTCCACTGGCGGTACATGAGGTAAGGTTCCTCAAACTTGTACTTGAAGAACCAGTCGCGGTAGGCGGCCTTCTCTGGGTTGTAACTCTCCTTGCAGCGAATGACAAAGCCCTCTACGTCGCGGCCGCCGTGGGCACCGGTCTCTGCCACATCTTCAAGAAACTTCTTGACCTCGTTGACGTCCTCCATTACGATCAATCCGACCTGCTTGAAGCCCCACGTGTCTCCGAAGCTCTGGACTACGGCGCTGGGGTATGTTGCGAACTCTGGCAGGTTCAGGTTGATTCCGTGGATGTACAGACCGGCCTTGTCCGGGCCGTACTCGAGAATATGCTCCTCAAAGGAGTCGTCGCAAAGCTCGGCTACTGCAGTGGCATTACGATCCCTCAACTCGCGGGCCAGGTCCTCCTTCGTCTTGCCGATAGCAGCCAGTTGCTTCTCGAGTAGACGCTCGCCAGCAGTGGCGTGGCTGAGCTCTGCGTCGGCGCGGTCTCCCGTGGAGTGCTTGCTGCACACGAGCAGTGTGCCATCCTCCAAACCTGAGATGAAGATGATGCAGCCGTTCTCCTTGAGAGTGAGCTCGTAAGGTCCGGCTGTCCTGCTGAGGATGTTCTCCCACTTTGTCTCGTGGACCTCCTCGACGTTAAAGAACTTGTCGTAGCCGCGGGTTACGATCTCGTGCTCGTTTTGGCGGTTTCTCGTTGTGAAGAGGCCGCGGGCATATGTGGGCAGACCGCGCTTCTTGTAGTCCCACTCCTGCATCTTCCAGGAGTCCACCTTGATCCCATCCTGGGACCCCTTGACGGAGAAGGAGTTCTTTTTGCAGGAGAAGCTGGCAGCGCCCTTCTCCTTGCCGCCCTTCTTCGTCGCAGCCTCCAGCGCCTTGACCATGGAGGACACCTGCTGGACATCCTGGGGGACGTAGGGAGCCTTGGGCATCACTGCCTCGGCCGTCACTGCTGTGGCCATGGTAGCAGTGAAAATGTGAGTTATTCTGAGGGAAGCTTGTCTATGAAAAAGAGAATGAGCCCTGTGGGCGATGAACATGTAGAAGAAGGCGGCGGCTTGTCGTCTTCGTCTCTTTTTGCTTTTGGTGCGGAAGGCCAAAGAATGTAATAGTGATGGTCTCACTTGAAGTTGCGCCCCGAGAAGAGGTGGGAGACGATCTGAGTTTTGTAGAAACAGAGAGAGGCCCCGATTCCTGGCCGTTGGATTGAAAAAAGGAGCTACAGACGAGGGACACACGAACAGGAGGTGAGTCACTTTCCCTGTCCAGAGTTAGAACGAACCGCTCCAACCTATTTCCCAAATGGCCTCAGCCAGACGTGTGGCTTCACCTTTGAAGAGTCCTCAAAAAGGCTGAAAGTAGCAGTCACGCCGTGGCTCACGCGCACAATACTGGGGATTGCGGTGCTGCTGCCTGAGGTGAGATCCAGATACGGGTGTCCAGGTACGGAAAGTGAGATGCGCTTTTCCAGGCTTGGAGGGGCTGAACGAGCCGCAGGAAGTGGCGTGGGTTGTCGATGCCCTTGCTGCAATCTTTTGGCGCTTGGAGGGGCACAGCACCCCTGGAAGTACGCGATTCTCCCGCAAGCGGAAGGCGGTCACAGCGCATTCAGAGGGGTTGCTACCTGATTGTGCGTCACACCGGGAGCTCCCCGCATGGCAGAAAATTTCCTCGTGGTTTTTTCTCACAGACGGGCATTTTTCGAAAGCTAAACGGTAGTCAGACTGCGCCACGACCGACCGCATATTTTGGCCTCATCATCTCCACGAAGCCGAGATTGCATTACACAGAGCTACAAATCTACCCTACGAAACCGAAACCCAAACAGAACGAAACAATGTCTCCCAACCCGTACCTCCTCGCCGCCGACAACCCGACGGCTCTGCTGGCCCTCCTCCGCGAGAACCCCGCCATCGCCTCGGGCCAGGATGAGCATGGTTACTCTCTCGTCCACGCCGCCGCAAGCTACAACCACCTCGAGCTCCTGCGCGCCCTGATCCGCGAGTTCAATGTCGACGTCAACATCCGCGACGAGGACGAGGAGACGGCGCTCTTTGTCGTCGAGACGGTCGACGCGGCCAAGTGTCTCGTCGAAGAGCTCGGTGCCGACATCAACGCCAAGGGCTCCGAGGGAATCACCGCTGCGCAGAAGATCGAGGGCGAAGGAGACTTCCCCGAGATCGCCGAGTACCTGAAGAGCGTTAAGTCGCACCGGACGGCCGACGCTGTCGAGGCGCACCAGAGCGAGTCCGCCGAGACCGCCGCCCCACCGGCAGAGCTGCCGCCCGTACCCGAAGGCCTTGCCGTGACGCTCGGTACCATGGACCAGGCTGAGGAGGTCCCCGCCGAGGTCGATCCCGAGTTCAAGCGCAGGATCGAGCAGCTTGCCGAGAGAGAAGACTTCCACACCGCCGAGGGACAGGCCGAGCTTCGCCGACTCGTTGAGGACGCCATCCTCGACCAGGGACTCGGCGATGAGCGCAGCGTGCGTCAGAAGCAGGGCTAGCCTTTTTCTTCCTTTCTTCTATATACAAAAGAGAACCAACCTTACTCGTCGCCCTTGATTTCCCAGAAGAGGTAATGGCCTGGCGACTCAGGGGGTCGGAGGAACGCCACCTCGGTGCTGTCCACGACCAGACCCTTGGAGAAGGAGGTTGCGCTCAGCGAGAACCACGCTCGCGAGGGGAGCGCGACGAGGGCATTGATGAGCACGCTGCGGACCCAGGCGGGGGTGAAGAAACCTTGCCAGGTGATCTTGCAGATCTTGTCATGCGGAGGGGATGCAGAGTCGAGAGGCATTGGAGTTTGATAGCGAGACAAGTACGGGTCGATGTTATCGCCTGCTGCGACGCGAGGGCTTTGGAGGCGAATTAGGGATAGCCATTCATACGTCTCTGTTGCATAGTCTTCGAGGCTGGGCCTGTCGCCGCTCTCGATGGTCTCGCTGGGGACTGCGAGGGGCGCCATCTGAACCTGACAGTCGGTGACGACAGACGGCTCGCAGGTGTATCTTGTTGGAAAGTGCTGCTCCAGGGGGTCTGGCGAGGGGGCTGGTGGACTTTAGCATAATGTGTGAAAAGGGGGGCAAGCGAACATACTGGTAGCCGTCGCGTTGCAGAACAACCACGTCACAGGCGCGTTGAGAGCATTTTTACATGCGTACAAAAGTCTGTCGAAGCCCTTCTTCCCGTGAAGCATCGATGGGTCTCGTAATTGGTAGCTCACCACTGGGAAAATTAGCAACGCCCTGCTTGAGAATTCAAAAGTCTGTAACAAACCCCATCTTGGCTTCAAGCCCCTTTTCCCTTTGACTCCGTGAGACTTCCCCACCAAGCCAGCCCGCTCGTATGACTCCTTGTCGAGATACATGGTGAGAAGCCCTTCGCGCAACGAAAAGACGTTGTCCACCGTCGTCTTGCCTTCCGACAACATCAGGATATTGCCTACTTTGTCAGTCATACAGTGCCGCAACTCCAAGGTGTCTGATTCGGCTGACCCCTCTTGATATACTCGGTGAAAAAAGCTCCGTCAAGGACCTGGCCGAGGGTCATGACGACCCTGTGAAATGTCGGTGGAGCGAGCTCCTTGGCCAGCTTCTGGTGCACCAACTCATAGCACTCTTGAGGCAAGATGAGATCAACCTGAGACTTCAATCAGCTGTGTGCTCATCCAAAAGCATAGTGCCTTCAAAAAGTGATCCCGAACCTTGTGATTGAATCCTTGACTCAGAATGGGCGCCCACGGCTTGCCCTTGGTTGGCAGCTGCTTGGGCTCGACGTGAGCCATCGTGCCGTAGCTCACGAAGCATTTTGGCGATTGGTAGACGCTCGGTGCGGGGAACGAAAGCATGCTGAATGGTTCTTTACATGCAGAAGTCGAAGTATGTGGCTTTTGTGGAAAGCGATTTCCAGATATAAGGCGTGTTGAAGGACGCGATGAGAGAGAGCTCGACAACTCAAAAGTGAGAATTGCATCTGAAGCTAGATCCACACCAGGTGTTTTCCGATTGGAGGAAAGACCCCACATTGTCCGCAGCGAACCGCAAATCTGGGAGTTGTCTGGAAGCAACAGTCTGCCTTTCTACGCCCAGGAGTGTCTCGAGCCAGTGTCATCCTCCACCAAAAAAGCCGTCGCAAATCCACACAAATCCCAATCGAGTCAGAGGTGCAAGACGGAGAGAAGACGACATTTTCACCAACAACACCTTCATCTCAGAGTCAATAGCTTCAAGAACGAAACTCAATACTTGGAACAGCGCCGTGAGTAATAAGACCGGATTTCGTCCGCTGGGACCCCGGCTAACACCGCCAGCAGCCCAAATCACAGCGCAAACGAGGGGCAGATCATCACCCCGCGCCGCGCCAGGATTTTTTCTCCGGCGACTACTGCCCCTCCTTTACGGCTTTTGCGCCAACGACAACCGCCACGATGGAGTATCTCGTGCGCTTCTCTCAGGCCCACGAGTCGTTCCGGCTGCCGGAGCTCCAGGCTCTCGCTGATCTTGAGGGGATTCAGATGAAGGTTGTGGAGTACAGCGCAGAGGTGAGTGTTGGTCTATGTCATGAGGGGCTCATATGAGCATCTCCAACCACTTCACGATGTTGCCCATGAAGATTGCTGGAGATGTTCTATAACCAACGACTTTCTTACACTCAAACATCCGACATTGAAACTCCCATAAAAGTCATCCTAAAAACCAACTCCAAATTCCACATGACCACTCACCCAGCCAATCTCACTAACATCCTCCCAGACCCCCTTCTGCATCATCACCCTCCCCTCCCCAGACGACGCCCCCCGCCTCGTCGCCCGCTCCCTCCTCACACAATCCATCCACGCCCTCTGGGCCTCCTCAACAACCTACCCATCCCTCCACGAAACCCTCAAATCCCTCTTTCCCTCCTCCACCCCGCCGACAACCCCCCTCTGGTCCCCCTCCTACGCAACCGCCTCCTTCCGCTTCAACCTCGACACCTACCAAACAACCCGCCCCCACGCCGACTTCATCGCCCTCATCAACTCCTTCAAATACCTCCCCCTCTCGGGGCCCATCCGCATGAAATCCCCCGACATCGAGTTCACCCTCTTCGAGGACTGGGACCTCCACGGCCCCGCCCCGAAACGCATCTACCTCGCCCGCCTCCTCGGCACCGGCGCCCGCCACCTCTCCCTCACCTACGACCTCAAGAAGCGCGGCTACATCTCCACCACCTCCATGGACTCCGAGCTCGCCCTCGTCACCGCCAACCTCGCCCACGCCGCCCCCGGCAAGCTCTTCTACGACCCCTTCGTCGGCACCGGCTCCTTCCCCATCGCGTGCGCCCACTTCGGCGCCCTCGGCTTCGGCTCCGACATTGACGGCCGCTCCATCCGCGGCGCCGGCGGCGAGCGCTCCGTCCTCGGCAACTTCGCGCAGTACGGCCTGCGCCACCGCGTCGGCGAGTTCTGGACCGCAGACCTCACGAACACGCCCGTCGTCCGCTCCGGGAAGCGCCGCTGGCTCGACGGCATCGTGTGCGACCCGCCCTACGGCGTGCGCGAGGGCCTGCGCGTGCTCGGGTGCAGGGACCCGGAGAAGACGCCCTGGGTCGTCGAGGCGGGCAAGACGCGGTACAAGGACAAGGACTTCATCGCGCCCAAGAAGCCGTACAGCTTCCTGGCGATGCTGGACGACATTCTGGAGTTTGCGGGCGACACGCTCGTGGACGGTGGTCGGTTGAGTTTCTGGATGCCGACGGCGAATGACGAGGAGCAGGAGATTCCCGTGCCGGAGCATCCTAGGCTTGAGCTGGTGGTGATTTGCGTGCAGCCGTTCAACAAATGTAAGTCGTCGCCCGTCCACCCTTCTTTGGCCAGGTTGCATGCTAAACCGACAACAGGGTCACGGCGGCTCATCACGTACCGCCGCATTCCCGACTCGCAGGTCGATCCGGAGAGGTTAGCCGCGTACAAACGCACGTTCGTGGAGGGGACAACAGCAGATGAACTGAACCCCTTTCGGCGGGGCTACTTCACCAAGTTCGAAAAGGAAGAAGCCTAATAGAAGAAGAATAAACATGTACAGCAAGTCCCCTCCCTCCCGTCTTTGATGATGCCTTGTGTCCGTGCCTGATAAAAAAGTAATACTATTTCGCGCATGTGGTTATGGCTTTCCCTCTCCTCCTCTTGTCTCTCCCGTATGTGGTCATAATTCCCTTTGCCTCTTGCCTTGAATTATCTCCCCTCGTCGTTCCCAAGGCATGTCCCAAGGCATCGTCGTTTGATATCATTTGTCAAAAAAAGGCACCGAATGCATCCAACCAATTCCAGCAAGCAAACTCCCGCGCCGGATGACTCTTCTCCCCGGTGCCGTCGGGTTTTGCGCTCGTACCTCTGCTCTGTCCTGCACCCCGAAGTCCTTTCCTTTCCGGATGTCGTTCCGGGGGATCGGACCTTTTTTCCTGTTCTTATCTGAATTCCATGGCGCTGAAGCAGCCCCTGTCCTCCACGTGCTTGAGCTCGAGCTGCTGAAACCTGGTGACGAATGGCGTCAGCAAAAGAAGAAAAGAACAACAAAAGCCCGTTCGGGGTCTCGGGCTTTTGAAAGGGTATCGTCGGCACTCACTTTTCGCTCTTGGAGTGGAAGTATATTCCACTCACCTCACCCTTGACCTGGTTGAAGCAGATGTAGTAGAATCCTTCGAAACTAGCGCCAGAGATGGTGCGTACGCGATGGTCGGGTACGAGGAAATGCTCCTTCCAGCGCATGAAAATGTTCTCGCGCTGGGCCACGTCGCGGATCACCACAGGGCCCTTACGCGCCTGCTTCTGGAAAGGACGGAAGGCGTTAAATTTCGCCCAGTGGTTGAGGTCGATCTTATCGGTGGCGCCCCAGGTCTCGTGATTTGTGGTGAAGCCGTACTTGGTGCCGATGATCTCACCCTCGAAGTATGTCGTCAACGTGGGGTGGTCCTCAGTGAGGCCTGCACAAAGTTTAGCGGGCGTTACACAGTGGGCGGGGGAGCTGTGGCTTGTTTGTACCTTGAATACGCAGATAGCCGCAGAGGAATGACTCCCTCAGGTCGACATGCTTGATTTCGACCTGGACGTCGTAAACCTGTCGCTCGGATTGCTGTGTGCCGCGGAACTTGCTCCCTGGCCGCAAAAAGGATGATGGTGATGATGGAATTATCTGTGGCAGTCAGCAAACCGGTGCATGGAATCAGTCATCGATGGGGGGAGCATACCCTCATGTTGGAATATTCTGAACCCATAGAGGGTGCCATTGGCTCCTCCTCCCACACGTCATCGGCATCGATATCCATGCCCTTGCCGTCGTCGTGTAGTGTCGTTGCGGATTGCCTGGTATCATGCCGCCTCGATCCATCAGCACGGGACGCCCGTAGCCTGTCACCGGCCGAGTGTCCCTCCTCGTCTGATTCGCCTTGCTTGAAAGACTCCATATCAGCCGCAGGCGACGAGTGGGCGGTGTCGCCCGACTGCGGCCTCGGCGACATGGTTGTTGATCTAGAGGAAGAGACGGCGGATGTGGGCTCGTCGTCGAGAATGACCTCGGTGCTTATGCCCTCGGTGGGAGACATTGGGGCGCTGACGGGAGCGGGAGAGGCGTCCTCGTCCATGCGGTCGCGGTCGTGATGGGGATCCATCGCTGCCGGGCCGTCGTTGGCATCTGGGCCGGTGGGTGGACGCCAGCTGCGTTGGGGAGATCTTGAGTTGCTGTCTTCAGGACATGTCGAGAAACTGTGCGATCGAGGAGAGTGGGGGTCGGGAGGAGGGTTGGATGAGGGAGTCGGCATGCTGGGCTGGGAAAGGTGTCGTGTGTCGTGGATGATCGTGAAGACGGGATGGAGCGCTGCAGCAACGGCACTGGCAGCGGTGGACGTCGATGTCGGGCGATGGGGGTCGGTCGCGTCGACGGGGAACGCTGCGGCTTTACCGCCAGCAGGGGTTGAAGGGCTCCGCAATGATGACAGCAGGGGGGCAACAGAATCGCGGAGGGAGAGCAGATGGAGTGTCGTTGGGCGGGTTCGGGTTCGGGTGCAACGATGCGGCGATGATTATTTCGACGTCGGAGGGCAGCGAAGTCGCCGGGTGGGCTGCTTGGTTATTCCTCGAGGAAACTCGGTCGAGGGGATGAATGCGAGGAGGTGATACAGACCAGTGGGAGCAGCGCCTTGGGGTAAGGTAGGTTTGGCTCCGAGTGGACGGAATCACAAGCTGCCAAGCGAGAGAAGGCGGTCGGCGGCGGACAGGGGCATTGGTCGGGAGAAATCCAACACCGCGTCGTCGAGCAAGCTGATGTGATGGGGGAAGTCGAGTGTGAGGTGAAGAAGGTAAGTAAAGTAGGGTCGCAAGAATACTTTGCGCCTGGTGGGATGACGATGTCGGGGGTTCGGCGCGGGATTTGAGCCAAAACAGAGAGGAGAAGCTTGCCGCAGGTGACGAAGCTTAGATTCTGGGCGAGAAATATAGAATTGTCACAGAAGCGGCGGATGTATGACTGATGTGACAGAGGCGAGGTCGGGCAGATGCAAATGCTGGCGAGCAGCGAGGAATGGGAGGGTTGGCTAGGTATCTGTAGGCAAGTTGCAGTACCTTACAATGCAATGCCACAACTAACAGCGACGGCACAGCTCAACAGAGACAAATCTCCATGCGGCTATGCTAGAGGCAGCGGCAGACACTCTCGAATTACCTTAGCAGGTAAAGGGAGGTACCTCTCTCTCAAAGGTACAAGTGCGACGGCGGGAGGGCAGCACCAGAAAATGCAGAGACGGGTAGGAAGGGCCTGGGCCTGAACCGTGAAGACTGCAGAGGGACGGAGACGGAGACGGAGACAGAGCAAGATAGAGGGCAAGAGGGACAGGGCCAACCAAGGTCCTTCAATCAAGTGGGGAAATGGGACGGGGGTGTGACGATTGGGGAGAGGACACTACCACTGGATCTTGGGCCAGTGAGTGGGCTTTTCTCTGTTGCTGCTCTGCGACTGGGGGAAAGCGGGAAAGAGAAGATGGGGGGTCGCGGAATGCAAAATGGGGGGAGGAGGGGACGATGGACTTTGTTGCCGGGATGGGACGAGATGGGATGGAGTGAGGTGATTGGCGGGGAAGCAACGGATAATGTTGAAGGTGCGTGTAATTGGAAAGGCAATGTTATCGTTCTCGCGGGTTGGTTGCGATGTTGAGATGGTGTTGAGTATCCTTTTTGGCTGCTGTTTGATGATTTTCTGACTGTTGCGTTATTCGGTTTGAAGAATCGAATGGGTGAGACGGAGAGCACACGAGCAGACAGCAGACAGCACAGCGTACGGGCACATGAACAGCTACGGATACATATGGCGGCAACAGACGAAATACTGCAGTCAAGATGCAGCGAAAAAGGGAGCTGGAGAGAGAAGGAGTCCACCGTCAATGCATTGCAGCCGATGACGCCCTCCCCCCGCCTTCCCCCATTCATTGCTGAGTACCCCCTCTAGTGTACATGTACCTGCCATACCTCACAGGCAGAGAAGGTACCTGAGAACGGGCATTTCTCTCCATCGCATCGTTACCGCGAGCCACGTTAGAAGGGTCTCCCCGGCATGTGGCATTTCTGCGCTGTCAAGCCTCCATCTGTCCGTCTCTCTCTCTCTCGCTCTCTGTCTCCCTGACTCTCTCCAGTATTCACTGGGTTCGTTACCAGTCTTGATGCTTGGCTGTCGCTTCTGGCGTTCGCTCTCTGTCAAAGAACCACGCTAGACGGACGCCAGCCACGAGACTTTGCCCCCGACTTCTCTAGCGGCGTCGCTGAACACCCCTTAGCCGTGGATTTGGCTGTCGACATCCCTAGCGGAGGGTTCTTCTGGGCTGAAAGCGTCACGCACTAAGACAGACAAGCACTGCCAGCAGAACTGACGGGAACACCTCAGCGCCTCCAGCCTCTTGCTGGTTCTCTCGTCGTCGCCTCTGTGTCTCCAGCTTCAGCCACTTTCGTGTCGTCTGATTTGTCCCGGGCCCCCAAAAGCTGCAGAAGACGGGAAGCCAGCTCACCTCATGACTGCGCAGGTTGAGCACTTACTTAGTAAACAGAGGCTTGCAAGAGGTACCGAACACGAACTGCCCCCCCCATCGCTACATGACATGCTCGTGCATCTGTCCTGGGTACATACCTACCTAGGCGCTGCAGCCAGCGGTCTCATGTCTCATGTCCTGCTGAATTTTCTTCTCGTCTTCCCCCCCAAGCGCAGGGCCCTTTTCGGGCTGGCGGGGGGCTCGCAGTCCCCGTTTTTGCAGGCGCTGCCCTGCCGGATCCCGCTGCAATGGAAGGGCGCATCTGCAGTTCCAGGGCCCGGGCCCAGTGACATTCATCACTTCACCCCCAGGGCCCCGAGGAATGGAACGGAGGGCGTCAGCGGGCGCTGCACCCGTCTCTTCAACCGTAAACCTGCCGCAGTGGCACAGACTGGGGCCAAACTCTGTGCTCTCGCAGGTATGAATATCCACTCAAGACTCAGACCGAGGTGAGGTGGTTCTTTCCAACGAGTCCAAGCACTGCAATTTACCTGCCTCATCTTGCCTTGAGCTGCATGTCCATCTGCATGCAATAGACACTTCATCTACTTGCCCGAGTAAGGTACTCAACGTCTAATGCAAGGCGGACCCCAGCCACGACCAACCGCCTCACCTCTCTCAACTCCCGTCTAAGCCTCATCCCTTTCCATTGCCTCACATGAAATGGAGAAAGGCAGTGCTACAGACACAACACACACAAGGCAGATCCTCTAAACCGCCTACAGTCATCCCGACCAAGCAGCTCCCTGCCAACTGTCTGTGAGCCCATCACATCACGTATGCATTGTCGCTGCCGTCTGTGCCAGCTAATTACCGTTGGATGATGGAATGCCTTCCTCCCCCTTTTCGATATTCAAAGCACATTGCTCAAAACGGGGACAATCACACCCGTCATCTACTTTCTTAGCAATTCGCCGCCTCTCGAGGCTTGTTTCGACCTCATGGAGATCAAGAGGACGGACTATCATGCTGTCACGCTGACCCCCCTCATGCCCTCCTCCCCTGAACTGACCTGAACCGAACCGAACGCCGGGCACCAGCCAGCTCCCGCCACGCCTCACATCCCGCCTTGAACCATCGCCGCTAAAGCAATAAAGCAGTAAAGCCGCACTCCCGCCGTTCGCTGTCTGGTCTCAGCCCTGCCCTGGCCCTGGCCCTCTCCTTGCAAGAACCCGCATCTCCCCGACCGACCCGATCTGTCCGGACCTGTTATGCTTAGTCCAGAATCCGCCGTTACAAGTCTGACTCGGCACTGCTCCCGTTGACAGCTCGAGCCAACGTGAACTCAAGAGCTGCGTGACACAACCCAACATCCCATCATCAGGTCCGGCGAGATTGGGTTAGCTTCTCGTCATTAGCTGATGACAGCGGCCCGCATGTCAGTTCACCACCTCAGACCCTTCCCGTCTCCGACCTAATCTCAGAACACGGCCGATCTGCGCGGCCAGCGTCCCCTTTTCGTGCGAGGCAACGGGCGTGCATGACACTATCATCGAAGAAAAAAAAAAAGACGTGTCTCGTTATTGCGGGATCGCGACCAAATTTGGCCACGCCCGTGTAAGTCTACCTCATGAAATAGGGATGGCTAGTTACCAATCGATTGATTATCTCTCTCTGCTTTTTTCATCCGTTCCCCCCACGTCCGCCGTCATGTCCGAGCTGAAGGGGCCCAAGAACTGCTTCATGCATACACCCGCATCGTTATGCATTTTCTAGAAGTAGTCGGGTTGTTTCCCGTTGTCCGCAGTCCGCAGGTCACGCGGCATGCGGGGCGTTTTTCGTCATTGCATGTTCGTCTCGTAGCAAACCCCCTCCCACATTAAACAGTTGGCCCCTCGCTGAACCGGTGGTCAGTTGCTGTTGCCGGTCTCGGGTATCTCCATTCTTCATTGCCGTCCGCTGTCGTCGGGGTCGTTGTCGTCGTCGATCGCGTTTAGATGGGCTTAATCTTAAAGTGCAGGGCAATCAGGCTGAAGACGAGAGCCTTCAGGTCCTGCACGAGGTAGTAAAACACTCGCAATCCTTCCGGGTCTGCAGACTCCGTCACGTCGACCAAGGAGCCAATCTTGGCGGTCTGCCCGAAACATGTCAGCCGGGTGCCCTGAGAGCCAACGGATGACTCCTACCCACCTCGAAAGAAATATGGTCGTTCCCCAGCCGAATCTCAAGCTCCTGGCGTCCGTCCTTGTTCTTTTGCGGCCACTTTGAGTCGTCTTCCCTGCGGAGGGTGTTAGTCGATTTCTGGGGCATTGGTGTCTGGAAGCGCACTTCAAAATTTCGCTCGTCTTGATGATGCGCTTGATCTCCTCGACGACCAGAGCGCTGACGCACACTATATGCACTTATCAGCTCTTGCCTGCCTGCTGTAAGGCGGGGAGGTGTCGTACTCTCTTTGCGAATCAGACTGTCGTTCCTGTAGTTGGAGTTGTTGGCATATCGTGCAACTGCACTGCGTCCGTCGCCGACAACGCGGAAGTCAAATTCTGGGATCGGTGTCAGCGGGTTTGCCGCAACGAACGTCAAGGTCGGCGGGGCGTGTTACCCAGGAACTCATGGCCGAAGCGTCCAGAGTGGCCGGAGCTACTGCCGTTAGCTGGATGCAATCCAAAAGAGGTCAGCAGGACCAGACGCACTAGTATCGCAGGTAGAACTGATCGTTGGGGGCCGACATGGTGGGCGGCGTCGTCGACAAAGCTCGGTGTCGGTGTTTCGTCGCGACTTGGTGTCTTTTGGGGCTGCAAGGCTGGGGAATGGAAATGCAAGAAAAGCGGGATGGCCCCCGTCGTCCCTCAGCCCTGGCGGGGTCTGCCATCATGAGTGGGTAGAGCTTCGGCCAATGGAAGAGCTCCGTTGGCAGAGGCTCTGGCTGGGCCTCTCCGGCATCTTAATCCGCTCCGAGTTCAAGGGTCCACTGCCGTCACGTGTTTCGCTTAGTGACACCTGTTCGGCGCCCGGGGACAGATATTCACGAAGGGCCAGATCAGTGTACAGAGGGCCCGGCGGTATATGCTACAGTTGCGCAGCCGTGTATCGCGAATCAGTGAACTGGACCGAACTGCTCCCAACAACCCACACAAACACTGACGACGCATGCTTGCCGAAGGAGCTCTCGTGTGGAAGTGGATTGAGTAAAACGGATGGCCTAGAAGAGTATGTCACTTTCCAGTCTCCAGCACTTGCATCGCCCAAAAAAAGTTCCAATCGTAGAGAAGGAGCTCCCTGAGCTAACACGTATTCCCCCCGTCCCTTAGACACACTGCCGTCCAATCCCCAATCCCCACCGCCCAGCTTCGACACATCCCACTCGAACCCCCCGACTTCCATCTTAATCCCCCCTTGAACACGTCGTCACCCTCACCGCGCCGGCACCGAGCCAGCAACACCAACACACTGCCGTCACGATGGCCTCCTTTCTGGAAAATGCCTACAGCTTGGTGCACCAGGACAATGCCGCCGACGTCCCTTCCCTCGCCGACCTGCGCACGCAGCTCGAGAAGGGCACCGACGAGAGCAAGGTCGAGACCATGAAGCGCATTCTCACCATCATGCTCAACGGCGACCCAATGCCTAATCTCCTTATGCACATCATCCGTTTCGTCATGCCCTCGAAGCACAAGCCTCTGAAGAAGCTCCTCTACTTTTACTACGAGATCTGCCCCAAGCTCGACTCCAATGGCAAGCTCAAGCAGGAAATGATCTTGGTCTGGTTCGTGGCGCCTCTGGCCTCCAGCTGAAGCTGCATGCACCCCTACTGACACTCTGGCCCCAGCAACGGTATCAGAAACGACCTGCAACATCCCAACGAGTACATTCGCGGAAACACGCTCCGCTTCCTCTGCAAGCTGAGGGAACCCGAACTTATCGAACCTCTGCTGTCCTCCGCGAGACAGTGCCTCGAGCACCGCCACGCATACGTGCGCAAGAACGCCGTCTTCGCCGTCTCCTCCATCTACACACACAGCGCCTCCCTAATCCCGGACGCCTCCGACCTCATCAGCACATTCCTCGAAGCTGAAAACGACCCGACGTGCAAGCGCAATGCCTTCGCCGCCCTGGCCTCCATCGACCACGAGAAGGCTCTGCTCTACCTGAGCACAGTATTCGAGGGCATCCCCAACGCAGAAGAGCTCCTGCAGCTCGTTGAGCTCGAGTTTATTCGCAAGGATGCCATTCAGAACTCCCAGAACAAGGTAGGATATCTCAAGAATAATCTGCTTGGCGCATGGCTGACCCGAGCAGGCGCGCTATCTGCGTCTCATCTTCGACCTTCTCGAAGCCAGCACCTCGACCGTCGTCTACGAAGCTGCCTCGTCATTAACCGCCCTCACCAACAACCCCGTCGCAGTAAAGGCCGCCGCTGCCAAGTTCATTGAGCTCAGCATCAAGGAGGCGGATAACAATGTCAAGCTGATTGTCCTCGACCGCGTGGACCAGCTTCGCAAGAAGAACGAGGGTATCTTGGATGATTTGGTGATGGAAATTCTGCGCGTCCTTTCCAGCCCCGATATCGATGTTCGCCGCAAGGCTCTGGGTATTGCCCTCGAGATGGTGTCGAGCAAGAACGTCGAGGAGGTCGTGCTCCTGCTGAAGAAGGAGCTGTCAAAGACCGTGGACCAGGAATACGAGAAGAACACCGAGTACCGCCAGCTCCTCATTCACTCCATCCACCAGTGCGCCATCAAGTTCTCCGAGGTTGCCGCTAGCGTCGTCGACCTGCTCATGGACTTTATCGCCGACTTCAACAACACCTCCGCCGTCGACGTCATCAACTTCGTTAAGGAGGTCGTCGAGAAGTTCCCCAAGCTGCGCAAGCCGATTGTGCAGAGGTTGGTGGCTACCCTCAGCGAGGTTCGCGCCGGCAAGGTTTACAGGGGTATTATGTGGATTATTGGAGAGTACTCTCTGGAGGAGCGCGACATCAGGGACGCATGGAAGAGCATCCGTTCCAGCTTGGGCGAGATCCCCATTCTCGCCTCGGAGCAGAGACTGCTTGACGGTGATGGTGAGGAGGAGAACAAGGAGCAGGTCAATGGACACTCCAAGCCCGCACAACCGACCGGCTCCCGCAAGGTGCTTGCTGACGGAACTTACGCTACCGAGACTGCTCTTACCAGCCAGTCTTCCGTTGCTGCCAAGTTGGAGGCCGTGAAGGCTGCCCAGAAGCCTCCTCTGCGCCAGCTCATCCTCGACGGTGACTACTACCTCGCAACTGTTCTCTCCGCCACCCTGGTTAAGCTCGTCATGCGCCATGCCGAGATCTCCAAGGAGGCTGGTCGCACCAACGCCCTCCGCGGTGAGGCCATGCTCATCATGATCTCCATCATCCGTGTTGGTCAGTCGCAATTCGTGAAGGCTCCCATTGACGAGGACTCTGTCGACCGTATCATGTCTTGCGTCCGCTCTTTGGCTGAGTTCAACCAGCACAAGGAGCTCAAGACCGTCTACCTCGACGACACCCGCAAGGCTTTCCGTGCCATGGTTCAGGCCGAGGAGAAGAAGCGTCTCGCCAAGGAGGCTGTCGAGAAGGCCAAGACTGCCATCCAGGTTGACGATGTCGTCCAGATCCGCCAGCTCTCCAAGAAGAACGCCACCGACGGTTTGGACGAGATTGAGGTTGACCTTGAGAGAGCAACCGGCGGCGAGGCTACGGCGGAGGACCTTTCCTCCAAGCTCAGCCGTGTCGTCCAGCTTACCGGTTTCTCCGACCCTGTGTACGCCGAGGCTTACGTCAAGGTCCACCAGTTCGATATCGTTCTTGACGTCCTCCTGGTCAACCAGACTATGGAGACGCTGCAGAACCTCTCCGTCGAATTTGCTACCCTCGGTGACCTCAAGGTTGTCGAGAGGCCGACGACACAAAACCTGGGTCCCCACGACTTCCACAACGTCCAGTGCACTATCAAGGTTTCCTCCACGGATACCGGTGTCATCTTCGGCAACGTTGTCTACGATGGTGCCCACTCTACGGATACCAACGTTGTCATCCTGAACGACCTCCACGTCGACATTATGGACTACATCCAGCCCGCCACCTGCACCGAGACGCAGTTCCGCACCATGTGGACCGAGTTCGAGTGGGAGAACAAGGTCAACATCAACTCCAAGGCCAAGTCGCTGCGTGACTTCTTGGAGCAGCTGATGGCGGCCACAAACATGAACTGCCTGACTCCCGAGGCCAGTATGAAGGGCGACTGCCAGTTCTTGAGCGCCAACTTGTACGCCCGCAGCGTATTCGGTAAGTTGTTGAATGACTTTCCACATCATGTTTTCGTTACTAACAAATGCGCAGGCGAGGACGCGTTGGCCAACTTGAGCATCGAGAAGGAGGGCGAGGACGGACCCATCACCGGCTTCGTCAGAATAAGAAGCAGATCGCAAGGCCTGGCGCTGAGCTTGGGATCCCTCAAGGGACTCAACAAGATCGGCTCAGCGGCGTGAGGGTTGTAGTGACGGATGTAGGTGCTATATATCGATACTGCAGTAGTCGCCCCGATGTCATGTTTTAACAACCTCCCTCCCGGCTAATCTCCAGCCTGCGGGCGTAATGGGGTTGAAAGATCTAAAAAGGGAAGCAAGAGAGAAAGATGCGACCTGGGAAGGCGGGCTGGCTGGCTGGCGGTGCTGAATGGAAATGAAATATGAGGGGAGGGATTGAGTCCTTGTCTGTGTTTTCCCCCCTTCGTTGGCTCTCTCCCTCTCGCCCCCTCCTCTTTTTGTGGTTAGAGTAAAAAGTGCAGCCGGGTCAGGCGTCATGAGTAGGTAGAAATGAGATGTTATTCATGTTCTAAGCAAGTCCATGTCACCCAGGTGGCGTCATGGCATGGGTACGATGAGTATGATGAAGAATCATGTCGTATTAAGTACGGTATTGACCAAGCCTGAGGGGTGAACCCCCTCAGGGCATATGCATACGTACATTCCGCTGGGTATGCCACAGTTTTGGCTGAGCGGAATCGTAATCACTAAACTAATGAGAGCGTGTCATGCTCGTAATGGCTGACAAACAAACAAAGGCTTTTTCTTTTTGGCGGCCGGCAAACACCCTCCACCGAAACGCCAAAGATTGCAGGAGTTGGATCGCGATGAAAAGGGGTATTATCCAGACTGAAACCAAATAGTAAACAAAAAGGGAGCGTTCGTGTATCCGTGTTGAAGCTGGAGGATTAAGAGTGCTGCCGTCGATGGCTTTGGCCATGTGTGTAGGTGCCTTGTTGGTTGAAGTAACCCATCCTTGTGGTGTTGAGAATGTACGGAAACGCTGAACAGGTCGCTGTGGTGTTCGGGGGCAGTTTGACGGCTGGGTTGTCATTATTGGTCAGGTTCGAAGTATGAAGAATAACGCGTCGTCCAGGGTGGGCTCGAGCGGTGGATGCTGATGGCGTTTCTTCGTCGACGCACTAAGCGCCATCGTTCCTGCCATCCTTCCCGGAAAAAGTCCATATGCTCTTGAGACTATCTGTCAGAGACATAGGCATTGATAACCTGGCCCTGAGTCCAACCCTGCTCCGTAAGACGCAGGTTTTCTTTGAGAAGCTTGCCCATGAAGGCTAAGCGTATCTTCTTCTTGTTTGGAGAGAGCTGGTAGATACGTTAGTCAAGATAGTTGCAGACCGAAGTTCAAAATGATAGAGCTTACCCCTGCTTCGTTTAGTATTTTGCCGGTAATGGTTTTCACGGTGTCGGTTTTGGAGAAGCCAACGGTCACATCACGCCCATTTTCAGACAGGCGAGCAAGAAGAGAAAGCTGGTCCCGAGCGTCAGTCACCGCCTTGCCCTTTTCCTCTCTCCGTCTTACATTCTCGTCTTCGTCGAGTTCCTCGGTTGTCTCTTCGCCGCCCGCCAGGTCATCCTTGAAGTCGCGCGTCGAGAGACCCTCGTCGTCGTCCGCGACGTGTATTGTTGCGTCGTCCTCGACAAGATTCGTGGGATTAGCCACCGCCCACTCGTTAAGCTGGTAGTAGTTGCCAAGTTGATCATAGGCACCTTGGGCCAGATCACCAGTGGGTAACGTGATATCCGCCGCGTCAAGAATGCTCTGGGCTGTTGCCAGGCCATTCGTCCCGTCCTCTGCTGCACCATGGCTGGCGGGATCCCAGAGGACCTGCAGAGCGTAGTGAAGGGACTGCCATATCTCTGGACGTCCAGTGACGCGGGTTTCGAAGAAATCTTTGCGCTCACGGTTGATGGCGGAACGGGTCCAGACACGGCTCTTGGAAGCCCAGACGTGGCGGCGGAGGGGCTTGTTGATGTGCCTGTCGAGAGGCAGGGTGGACTGACGGTGGCGGCGACCACGGCTGGAAGCCTGTGTCGTGGAGGCGGCGGGGGAGTCGTCGCGGTCGTGGGCGGCGGCCGAAGTAGAGGCATTGATTGCGCGGGCTGAGCCGGTGTTCGTCGGGCCTGGGTAGGGCGAGATCGAGCCACTCTGGGATCTAGACATGCAGCAGCCCTACGAAGTTGTCATTAGTCTGATGTTTGAAGCAGCGGCCGTCCGTGGTGCAGTTGGACATGGCGCTTGGGCATCGGAGTACGCTCCGAAGGCGACATGAGATTGAGGAGCAGCTTACCATCGTGACGGTGCTTCAGCGGCAGAGTGGAATTAGGTATATGCGCGGGGTTAAGTTTTAGCAATAAGAGATGCGTCGGTCCATAGCCTGACGTATATGATGTGGCGCGGCCTGGCTAGGACTGGATAATATGTACTATTGGTCCAAGAAACGTTGTCGCCAAACGAGAGCTTCGCGAAATGTAGCGCTTCTGTCCAAGACAACAAACTGTGGAAGGGAGAAGACAAGGAGGACAAGAGGCGTAGAGTCGGGCGACAATCGCTGGAGGAGAGAAGGTGGTGGTGGTGGTGGTGGTCTGGACCCTTGACGTGATGAGCTACTGCTTGCTGGTTGGCTGAAGAAGGCGGGTGCGGCTGCGGATGTGTTGGTGCCGTTGGGGGAAGTGCGTATCTGGAAGTGTTTGGAGCAGTAGCGAATGAAACGTCGACGAGATCGTTGGCGAGATGTACAGGCAGTGGTGGTGATGGTGGTGGTGGAAGTGCCTCCCCTGTGGTGGTGATCGGGAGGAGGAAACCGACCAGAGGTGAAGGATGACGAGTAGAAGGTGGGATGGTGACGAAGCAGTGACTTCTTCCCTATTGCGGTGCGACGTGCGACAGCGACGACGGCAGCAACAGTGACAGCGGGAAGGAATCCAGCGCTGAGGTGGTTGCAGTTCCTCCCCCGGAATAGGATCTCGGCTAGCAGGGGGGTTCGCGAGCTAGCGTCACCTAAATTTTGCTTGTTTCCGCTGAAAGTCTGGCAAATGCTGAAAGTCTGGGCCGTGACCGAGGCTCCAGTTCCCCTTCCAGTTTTCTTGTATGTCGGAGCCGTATTATTTGATTGCTGTTGGTTGCAGACATGCACCGAACCAGACCATTCCTGGCTGTCAGTAATTACCCGTTTGCACGTGGGTTTTGCTCCTGCTCAGGAACGCCCGAGACAATGCGCAAAGGACACAATCGATTGAGAGACAATGGAACGGCCCAGACACCGCCAGATCTGATCGTCTCCGAACGCTCTTCCTTTCTTCTTATCTCGTTATATTCTTCCTTCTCTCCAATTTCGTTTTCTAGCTTAGCTTAGAGGTTGGTCACAAGCGTCTTGGCAAGGGGCCCGTTACACCTGTCGACACAGGGTCCCCCAGCAAGCTCAGCCCAGTCCACTCATTTTTATGCCGGCGAACCCCTCCCAAGGTGGTGCTCCCAACGGTGCTTTCCAGCGGTTCAGAGAGTGCTGAAGTGGTCCGTCGGGCGGTAAGGTTGCTGAGCCACGATGCATCTCACGGCGCCTGACACAGACAGCCGGAGGATGACGACGAGAGCGTGATGCGATGAAAAATATATTTTCCTCCTGAAGCCGGCAACCGTCTCAACGTTAACGGCTGGGCTTGCGCTGTGCGCTGCCAACTCAATTCCATAACCAAACCAACACGGCCCAGGAATGGAGCTGCCTGTCTCAAACGAACCCTTCCGCCCCATTGAGACGCCGTGCCGGGTTTCCATTAGTCTCATTAAGCTGGGCCGGGGCTGTCCGTTACTAACGCAATTCAGATCTCTCCCTTTTCAAGATTAGATCTTGCGTTTTTCAGTGAGGCGACGACTTGCTCATCTGGAATGTAATGCGACCGTGTGCTAAATCGCCAAGTTTTGCGGAATCGGCCGTTTTCCAAGCCAGGTGATCCTCACAAACCCGACTTCTCCGGCTTCTTCAGACGAACTGTTCGCCCTGAGTCGTCATCCATGCCTCAGTACACGGCCGTGGATCCGTCACGCACCGGCGCCTCCGTATCCTGCCGTTCACCCGTTTCGCCCGTGGTTCCTTGACGCCCACCCTTGTCCGTTGCGGACCCATCGGGCCCAGTGTCCCCATTGTCGGTCCATCGACGTTAATGACGTCGAGATGGTCTTCCGAGACAACATCCCAGCATGCCGAGACAGCTCATAACCTTTGGCCAAGCAAGCATCGCCGCCAAGTCGATGTAACGTCCAGCTAGACCGGTCCTAAATGTCAACCACATCAGATCATTCGCCATCTCTACCACAAGAATCCACGGCAGTTCTTGCTGCCACAGAGGCACGGCGTCATGTCGCCCTGCTTGGACTTATCCTTCGCGTCGTTATCTTCGTCGGATACGCCGTCAACATAGTCGAACGTCAATTCTTCTCCAGCAGGAATATCTCTGAGAGCGAAGAGGCCGATATCGTGCATGTGCTTGTCTGCGTGGTCGCCCACACGGGCAAAGATGCGGAGGTTCGGCTCGCACGAATGATTGATGAACCGCGTCGGCCCCGACATGAACTCGCCATCGATCTCGAGCGGCGGGCCCTGTAGTCGGGGATCCGGAGAGTCGGGGTCGGTGAACTTGTCGAGGGCGAAGAGGTACACGTCTTTGCGTTGTGAAATGCTCGACTCTTTACGGCGGCGCTGGGCTTCCTCTGGCGTCAGGATCTCGCCAATGTACCTGTCCACAAACTGCCCTCTCTTGATGTCCACAAGTGAGCGCACACCTGGTACTCTGTCATCAGTTTCTGTTCTCCAGAGGATTTCAGCAACTGTAACCACTCACCCCATCCCCTCTGGGTGGTACGGAAAATCTGCAAGGGCACCTTCCTGCCTCTCTCGACGACGCGGTTCGAGCAGTTGTCGGTGCAAGCGCAGCCCTCGTGGCATTCGTAGATCGGCCTCTTGGAATGCTTCAGGAAATGGGATCGCAGCAGTCCCGCCTTGGAGCCGTGCATGTGGTACATGTACACTTTCTTCCTAGCGGTGCCCTCATCGTCCGAGTCATCCTCTTGTTCCTGGAGGCACAGACAGCCTCGGTACTGGCACTCTTCATCGTCGCGGCATTCGCAGCCTGAGCGGAAACTATCCTCGGCCGCCTCGACGCCGTGTCCGAGCTTCGACTCTTGGAGGAAGCGGAAGGTGGAGGGTATGACGGCGTCGTCTTCCTCATTGACGATCGTGATCGGGGCTTCCTTGCTATTGGGGAATCGGCGGATCTGGCACCAGTGGCAGTTTTCCTTTTCCCGCTCGAGGGCCTGTTGCAAGAGGAAGTCAGTCTTCAGTCTGGGCGTTCGGCCGGTGGTCAAGGTCGTACTTACCCGTGCAGACGACTTGCTTGTCGACTGTGTGGCGCCATGATAGAAGAAATGGCGCTCTGTGGCCGCCTCCATATTTTCGCAGTTCTGGTTATGGATCGAAGAAGCGACAGTAAGGCATACTATTGGCGGGTTTGCAGAGCTCTTGACGGTGTGCTGCCTTGAAGCTGTCAAGCCGCGGGGCAATTGGCCAACCACTTTACGCGAAGCGACGCGTCGGCCGGAAGCTGCTGCTGACTAAGGCTGGGAGCGAAGTGGGGTAGCTGCAGCTGTAGCTGTGGCTTCCTCACCTTGGACACCGAGGGGTAGCTCGGTCAGCTTTCAACACACTGACAACGATTCCGAGTACAACTTTGACAATCGAGCATGAGATTCGCAAACCATTCTCGACTACAGCGGCTGACACGGTTTTCTTTCGAGATACAAATACAACGGGTGATCCAAAGATGAAGACATGCGCAATTGCGAGAATTTTGAAGCGATTTCCTGATTGTCGGTCTTCTCAAATTTCGGTTACGATGGCATTTGATGCTAAACACCCCTTTTCACTACCACGACCATCCGACTAGATCCTACGCCCATTCTTGCACTCAGGCTTGAACGTCGACCCAAGCTCACCCCACTTGATGTTGCTAAAGGTCACCACGGGGTTCGGCTCCGTCTTGACAATGTTGGCCGGGAACCCCTCCGTCTCATCACACGGCCCTGCCTCGGGCGCTCCGTCCAGCCAGCGCATGCCGCCGCCCTCGTCCCACCAGATGCTGAACGCCAGCACCATACCTCTGTCAAACGACTCGCCCATCTCCTTGTGGCCCCCAAGGCCAATGAACTTGCGCGACCCGGTCGCCTCGCAAAACTCGTCGTTGAGGTAGTTCACCTGCGGCAGGTCCGGGTTGTTGACCGTCTCGCTGCGGATGACGTGCCCGTCTTGGACGTACAGCCGGTGGATCTCGGTGAGCTCGCCGGCCGCGTTGGCGGGGAACTGCGTGACCACCGTGAAGGGTCGGGTGGTGTCGACCGAGAAGTTGGCGCCGCGGCCGTATTCTTGCGGGTTGTTGTTGCGGTACGGGTTCCATGCGCAGCCGTTCTTGTCGCAGACGCCCTCGAAAGCGCAGTCTTCGCCGTCGCAGAGGTAGACGCCGGTTTGGTTGCAAGGGTGCGGCGCGATATGGTTCGCGCGAGAGTTGGCTTCCCAGATGTCCTAGACATCAACTGTCAGTCATCACAAGACACCATCGTGGGTGATGTATGAAAGTCTTACCATTTCATTGCAGCACGCTCCGTAACCCTCGAGGTTTCCCTCCCCGTTGATGAACGGCGTCGTGTAACACTGCGCATCACAGTACCCGGTTCCATGGGTTGCGCCGCCAGGATTGAGTTCACTCCGTCCGCCGTCGGCGTACATCTCTGAAAGATACAGCGCGCTGTTCATGCCACACGGCAACCGCGTGGCATCGACATCGAATGTGAACTCCATGCCCGTCAGGTGCATCATCTCGTACTTCTCCTTGGACGGCTCGAGCAAGTACACACGTGGCGAGACCAGGCTGCCGTCACGGAGCTGGTACATGGTCATTGCGGCACCCTCGGTGGTGACGCCGACGCGGGAGTAGTCGTCCAGGCCCTCCTGAACGCAGTTCTCCGCGCACGCTTCCTTGGTGGGACATGCCGTCTCGTTGGCGGCGCTACCCCATGAGCCGCAGGAGCCACCGTTGGCTGCCTGGTAGACGTTGTGGGCGAGGGAGTCGAGGACGACGAAGTTGTTCACTTCGGTGCAGCCCCCGGCTTTGGTGCACCGCCAGGTTGTCAGTGAGGGGTGGTTCTCCTCGGGGCCGATCTGGCGTTGAGCGGATGTCAGACCGAGGAGAAGGGTGGCCAGGCCTAGGCTGGAAAGTGTCGGAGCCATATTGACGATAAAGTCGTAATCCGTCAATCAATGGCTGGATAGACCCGGTCAAAGAGATTGACGATTGCGCCTGGGTTCACGAGAGCATCGCGATATGGCGATTGCGTGCGAGGCCAGGCATTCATATACGTTAGTAGACCAGAGACATCCATCGCGTTTCTCTTCTGCGCTGCCGCCATTGTATCCTCCAGACTGTCGGCTTCTCCCCCAGATTCACATTAATCACATGCGGCTTCAGTCCAATTCGGATTCAAGGAGGTTCACGCTCCGAAGTCTACGCGGGGCTGATGCAGAGGTTTGCCGCAATGCAAGCAAGGGGTTTGAAGCAAACACGGTGCTAGGTTAAGTAGAAGCGGTCTTAGTCCACTTTCGGGACGGCAGAACAGCAGAGGGAGAAGGCCATCGTGAGCGACGGGCGGCTTCACGGTATGTCGGGCCAGGAACCGCATCGCGGGAGATCTTGGCTCTTGGTTCAATGCAACGCTGCCCTCCTCTACGGTCCTAGTGCGGGTGAACCTGCATGGCGCATGGCTCGTCGGTCCAGTGAACTTGCGGGATGGGGCAGCCATCAGCAGCCGACGCCCACGTTCCTGGCAGGAGACGCGAGTGCGGCCATCTAGACCTTTCGCCGTTTTGTGAGTTGGGCTCGTCTGGACGGGTGATGTTGGAGGTGAAGCGAGGAGTGAAGAGTTGGTCGCGAATATCCTGGTCGAGTTCTCCAGTTCTCCGCATGAAGCTATGCCAGGGGCAGAGCCGGGGGACGGTGATCCGATCCATGGAACCAACGGCCACTACAGGCGGGCAAGAATTGGCGAGGGGGGAAAGGAGCAGTATCTCCCGATGGGATATTGGGATGGGCATTTGACCAGCTTTCGTTGCGCCGTCGCGTTCAATGGCACCTCGGTGGACCTCTCTCACTGAGCACAACATCTATCCACATTTCGTGCGGGACTATGACTTTTGAACTTGCAGTCAATAGTTGACCGCGACTCAAAAGCACATAATGGTGTATTGTCTTGTCAGCAGAGGCAATACTGGATGTTTGCAGACTTGTAGATCTGTTGTCTGCACAGCGTTAATCTCATTTCGCATACACAGCCCACCCACCAGCCGCTCACACTATCCAGTTGGCTGCTCATGAGCCACACTCAAACTGAACAGCGCCAGACGCGGAAGAATTCATCGCAATTTCCGTCGCCCTAGCCTTCGCCTTCAAGCCGCAGCCCGTCTGCAGTTTTTCAATAACCCAATTCTCCCGCCTTCGCCCAGCTGGGCATCACCGCTCACAAATGCTCTTACAGACCTCAGACCACCGCCCACTTGACCTCATAATGAAGGGGCGCTGCATGCCAAGTTGTCAACGCCGGATCTCAGCGGATTGATTAAACTTGCACGTCACTGCAAGGCACATTTTCTTTTGACCTTGCCCATTCGCCCCCCAATCTCAGCTCGCATCCGCAGGCTCCGCACCAGTAACTCGTCTAAATCACTTGATCCGAAAGGCCCGGCGCAGTGAAGACCAATGCCGAGGCCGTCCAAATAGACGAACAATGGCAAGTCGGCACCCGCGATCCCCTGGGATGATCCTTTGTGAAATATTTTCCTATTGCAACTCTTATAGTTTAATCCCTTGCCAAGTTGCGACGAACGGTCGTTTATTGACAAAAACGAGGGTCCAAGACCTCGTCAACATGAAGCAGCCGCCCCTGCCCCCAATATGGAAACCTCCTTGGCAGATCGGACCTCGCGATAACTTCACAACGCTGACTCGCTTCCGGCTGACGCCGACGCCGATGCAACACACCATTCACCAATAATTCGCACCTCCCGGACCGCCCAAGCCTTCTACCGCTCCACAATTACTGCCAGTTGCTCTTGATGACATCCATAATAACGCCGTGATCCTCGTCCTGCTTCAACCCGCTGACGACAACCACGGCGACGACGCCCTCGACGCCCTGGACGCGGATGGGCACGCCGCCGCCGTGGATGGCGTACTTGCCCGCCTGCTCCGTGCTCATGCCGAAGCGCGCGGCGAAGGCGGCCTCGTCGCCGGCGAACTTGTTGTGCAGGAGCCAGGTGCTCGCGCCCCAGCGCAGCACGCTGGCGCGCTTGCGCTGCACCCAGGTCTCGTTGTCCGGGAGGGAGCCGGAGCCGACGGCGGTCTGGAAGAGGACCTGGCCGCCGCTGTTGGCGAGGGCGATGGAGATGACGGTGGGCTTGCCGGCGGCGGCGAAGGGGAGGAGGCGGGCGTAGAGGAGGTGGCCGAGCTCGAAGGCGTCTTCGGAGGTGAAGGTTGAGAGGGTGAAGGAGTCGCCGTCTTGCTTTAGTGCATCAACCTAGTTTTGTTAGTGAATTTCACGAGTAACATAGATCATATTTTGTGTGGCAGCATGGACGGGGGTTTTGATCTAGATAGAAGATGGGGATCATGATGAGAGGGGGATGAAATGGGTCAAGGAGACTGAATCTAATGGGAAAAGAAAGGGATCTGATTCGGGACACGATTGGGACATATTCGGACACAGAGGTAACGGCATGGTACGAGAGTGACGTGTGGTCGGGATTACGGTCATGATGGGCAAATGGGTCGATAGGGAAGAAACAATTCAAAAGGTGTAGGTGGCAGTTCAGGATGGCAGTGGGTGGAATGAAGTCAAAATGATGGAATATTGGATCCAACAAGGATACAAGGGAAGTTTGAATACTGAAGGAAAATATGTTCGGAGCAACACTTACATCGGACGGCGGCGAGGGAATCGGGTTCGGAGCGGCGGGGTTCCGGACGGCCTCGAGGGACTTCTCCAAGCCGAAGCCTGCGGGGTTCCGACGGGTCCAGACCTTCTGAGACATGCTTGCCGGTGTCGGTTGCGCTTGGGTGCTCGCTCGGAGTGTGTACGAATTGGAAGCGAATTCACTTCTTTCGGGCGATGATTCCACGGAAATGCCTGGAGTTGAGGAAGAAGGTGAATCGTCTTGTATCTGTCTTCTCAGTCAGTCTTCTCCTCCTCGTCACGGCGGCGACGGACGTATTTAACATCCCCACCGTCGCCCAAGATGTGATGTGGTTCGCCCCCCCTCCGCTGATGCAAAAGCCCACTTGGTGTCCCAGAATCCGGGCCATTTCTTCCAACTGTTACAATTACCGCATCAAGGAAAGCGCGCCGCCAAACACGTACCGAGTCCGGGATCTCCTCCTGCGCGCCGCGCTGCACCTCGGCGGGTGTCCTCACCACCGGCGGTCGTGCGTGTGCGCTTGTTGGTGTCGCGACTTTGCGCGCACCAGAGGTTCGCACCTTTCCTGTGCCCTTGTTATTATATCTGTAGAGACCCCATTCGCGCAGCCGCCTCTGGAACGTTTTCTGGTTCACTTCGACGCCTTTCGCGGCGAGAGATTTGATAATGCTCTCGTTCGTCTCGCGACGGTTCCAGGCCTCAGTGATCTCGCCCTTGAAGGGTTCAAGGTCGAATTTGGGGCGTCCTGGGGGCATCTGGGGTACCCGTGTTCCATTTGCGGATGACTTGAAAGTTTGCTCGCTGATTCGCCTGAAGGACCTGGTCCAGGCTTAGCAAAACCTCGAGAAGGGAACACCGGTCAATGAGAATGTCGATGCGATGGTGAGCGTGTTCGGTGTTTGCTCTTGGCCGGGCGCGACTGGGTTCAACGGCGGTGGAGCTACCCCTCAGGCGTGGATCCACCCGGCAACGGCCGACATGCCCCGTACCAAAATCGCCGAGACTCCCCGGTGCGACGGCCACGTCAGATCCGGATGAAGTCTCACTCCCGGGGCAGCGAATCGTGCGTGACGTTCTTTGGATCATCATTTTTTCCGCCTTTACCAACCTGTTGTACCCAAATTGGAGGAGAAAAAACAACGCAGACGGAAGTGAATATTTCTTTTCGATTTTACAACCTCAAATTTAATTGAAATCATTATTCTGGAGATAATGATTGCAGAATCGTACAGCATTGTTTGATACCAAAAGCATGTATAATGAAGGGCTCGAAAGTCAGCCATCATCTGTCTATTCAGCGGGTCGTGTTAACGAGTTTTTGTTTAATAGATGTGTTTCGAATTCTTTGTCAATATCTCTCTAACGTGTATTGTAAAGGGAATTGATACACGGGCATCACGAACTGATACACGGGCATCACTCTTATCCGGGCATCACTTTTAAGCCCATCTATTGGCCCAAATAAAATCAGGCCCACCACTACTTCTCGCCCAAGGCGGTGAGCGGTCGCTTCCTAACAGCTACCATTTCAGCTATTTTCTTCCTACTGCGCTTACTGCTGCTCCTCACGAGGCTTTTTGAGATTTGCCAA